ATTGCGATCTCAAAATTGCGGAGAAAAATGACGAGTAGCTGAAAAAATGGAACCAATGGATGCGATATATCGCATGCCTTTCTGACACAAAAAATGGCGTCCATCGAATCACCTTAACCTTCTTACTATTATTCCTTAAACCACGCGATAAAAAAATGGACACTGAATTCGCGAATCGACGTAAGAAGGTAGTGCGATGTCGACGAACTGCAACCTGGTTGACTGCGGGCTCGATGGCACCATTAGCGTGTGTGTAAAGTTCGATACGCTATCGCGGTGCTTGGCCAGTGAAAGTTGCCGACAGAAAAGTGTCCGCTGGAGTCGTTGTCCCTGCGACGTAAGGGCGTACCTCTATTTCGGAATGAGTCCCGGAAAGCATAGAAGAATACGGAGAACAGGGTCCACGTGAACACTGAGGTACGCTCTTATGTCAAAGGGGCGACGAAGAGTGGGATAGGATAGGACAGGAGTGCCACACAGTGGATCGAGTCAACCAGTGAGGTTGGACATTAATATTTTAATTAAAACTGCAAATGTTTATATTAATTCCGCCACATTTCAAATATTAAGGAGTGTTTCTAATAGAAAATTTCACGAGGAAACCAATGAAACCATTTTTAAAACCCCAGAGTTTTTTTATGAACGGAGTCATAGGCTTTTAAAGTTTCCGAATTGTGCCCGACTTCTATGTTGATTCGTTCCTCTGTGTACCGCGGCCGGACACCCTCCTCCTCTGGTACATACCCCTCGTCTCATTCCGAGCAAGGTATGTTTACAAACTCGCACATGTAGTGTATACTGCCATGCCAAGGTAGAACGCCGCTTGAGCCCTCAGACGTTGCAGATGTTCGCTAATAAAACATGATTTATTTTTTTTTTTATTAAAAATGTATTTCATTTATTAAAAAAAAAAAAAAAAAAAAAAAAAAAAAAAAGTATGACTAGGTACCAGAATTCCTGTGAGGGCTCCTAGAATCTCAAAGGGAATATTTTCCCAAATTTATTTTTAGTATTTCCAAACATTTAAAGGAAACATATTAATAAATTTCATCCAAAATGAATATTTTATCCAAGCAAGGAATGTAAGGGAAGGTAAATAAGTGGAACTTACCTGGTCTACTTGGTAGGTTCGTAAACAATGCAACAAGGGTGAACCAAACACTTTCAAATAATCACGTCTAAAACTTCTACTTCCCCTAATTCAGGACAAAATTGCTCTTTTCATGCAAATGAAGATGCAGAGTCTTTGGTAATTTAATCAAGTCCATAATTACAACGTATAAGTGAATAATTCGTCACAAAACTGACTCATAACCTCGATTGTCAGATTCCGATGAAGAGCTTAACGCATGATGTGTGATTAGTGTATGTGACGTAGTGAGATAAGCGAAAGAACGGTTGGATTCAGATTAATTCTGAATCATTATCTGGTTCTTGTGGAATGGAATAAGCACTCCACGTAGACTTTCCATAATGATGTATACTTTGGGTACTTACATTGTCGGATTTCTTAAAATGACCCGTGACACCGACAGCATTCAATTAAAGTAACATTGGTCACGATCAGATATGGAGAATCGTAATGCATGTCCAAAACCAAAGTGCGAAACAACGTATCTCCATCAGAGTCGGATCAACCAATCTGGCAACATCGGATTTCCTACATTTAAATCTATGTTGAATAATCGATTCTTGTCGGAGCACCTGACAAGAATCCTTCAAGAAGCGATACATTTCTATAGGTTTAAATGGGGGAAAGCAATGTTGCGAATTTGCTGGATCCGCCAATGACCTCCATTGCGGTGTTTCAAAATTACTGCTAGTTTTCTTCCGAAACAAAACAAGCTAACTTTATTGCTTAAACTTAACACAGAGTATTTTTTCGACACGGACGAAAAATCAAGGAAATTTGCAAGAAATTACGTCAACTGGTTCTCCGAGGAAAAAATGAAATATGGCAGGAAGTTTAAACGTCGCAAACGGACGTGGTTTCGCACTTTGGCTACTGATGTTTCCTCATCAAAATAATACGTGTAAAGTGGTGAATGATTCCAGAGTATTTCTAATTTTGAAGAATAAGTTGAAGATCAATGTTCTCTGTTCGGATGCTACTAGCCAAAAAAACCGAAGTCCATACTGGAAACTACTCAAATTTGATCTTTTTTGACAATTTGATAAAATGAACAATCATAAAAGGGGAAAAATTAAGATTTGAAAGTCCATTTATTTGGAGGATGATACGTTAGTTTTCATCGATCAATTTGACTTACTTTGTTTTTGGTTTTTTTCTGCGAGCGGGGAGCTTGCGTATTCTTCAACTCTGACTTAAAAAATGTGCTAACTTTACACTCTTATATGATGTGCTAACGTTACACTCTTATATGATGATTTTGGGCATTTCCAGTATGTTCAACGGGTACTGCATGAAATATTGATGTGAAAACAAATTTTGCGGTGCTTAAATGTTTATCTCATCTAGTGGTCCATTGATCATTTTTCACCCGAAGAATTGGACTGCATTTTGCAATTAGGAACTACAATTTTCAGCTCACTTTTAAAAGAACGCATGCGCCATTAAGTCCCATAAGTCCATTAAGTCATTTATGCATGATGAGTGCTCTTACAAATGAGTCTGAAATTGTATATTCTAATTGCAAATCGAAATCCGATTTTTCTATCGTATTCATTGTTCTTTAATGCTAGAACTTTGCCGTTTTATGGAAGTTTAATAACACTGACATTCACATCATTCGTTCAAAATATTTCAAGCTCTTGAAAACTGTATGCAAGTTTTAAGCAGCCTTTTGAGAAAATATTTTGGTTTGTTCTATCATATTAATTGATAAAGAAAATCTTAGTGTTGAATTCTTTTAATGTATCCTGAATAAAGTAAAGTTGCAAATAGGAAACATTAAATCTAATGGAGTGATTTTTAAACACAATCTCAAGAATAAGTACAGCTTCAAAATCTTGTCTCTTGTGTGTGGTAATGTCAACGAAATTTATGTCGTTTACGTAAAAATTGAGCGCTCGTTCGTAATTGAGCATTAAACAGGAAACTAGGCCGGTGTTAAAATGAGAACTCAGACGTTAGAAAATGTGAAAATTAGACTAAAAAATCTGAGACATAAATCTGTGCTAACTGAAATTGAATGATCATTCCTAGAAAAATTCATTTACGTTCCATTGTTACTGAGATGTTGATAGTATTTATAAATGTATTTGAGGCCATGATTGCTTCAATTCTATAATTTGATTGCAATTCTTCTCGCACAAAAAATGTTACTAAAACTGTCGCACTAAAAATTCCTACACCTATCATTGAATTTACGGTGTAATAAAACTGATTAGGAAACTTTCCTCCTTTCAATATTTAGCTTTACTTCGAATAAAAAAATTATATGGAGGTGGACGTGCTGAAAAGTTAATAGGAAGTAAAAATCAGAATATAGGTCGTATATTAAAAACTTATCGTATTAACTTATTTTAAACACAATATTAAACTCTATTTCTCTTAAATGTTTGCATTTTTAGAAATTGATGATATTTTAAGTTTCATAAAAAAACAGTGAATATTATACATAAATAACTTAAATTTACAAATAATAAATAATAACTGTACATGTGTATAATTACAAAGAAATCTTGGGATATTTCATTATAAGAAACATTTTTCGTATGTAAGTAGTTTTCCCTACATTTTATTCTGAAGCAGCAAAAAATTTTCATCGGCAGAGACCGCGTGTCATATGATTTCGAGGAAAATGTATTCTGCTGTAATAAGACTACGTTCTCTTACGGAGCAAAAATTGCCTTCAGATAGATGAGTATGCAACCCCACCATAGGAGAGCTGGAATAGTTTTTGCCCGCACTTGAAGGGGCTTTTTGCCTAGACGAACGCTCCTTCTCTTGTGGACGTACGGTTGCAGTTCAAGACTTACAAATTGACTGAATTTTGCAATTCGGAACTAAAATTTCTGACTCAATTTAGGAACAACGTATGCACTATTAATACCGTGCTACGGAAAACGCCTTATGAGCATTCGCATGTTGCCAAATTTCCTCTTAAATTACTCATTCATGAAGAAATGGATGGATATTTTTCCCTAAAATATTCAGACATTTTAGATCAAATTATACTGACAAATTCTCTGAAAATTCAGTAGAAAATGTTTTATAAATTTTCCCGAAAATTCGTAACCAGTCAAAGAAAATGTAGCAAAATCTGAAAGCTCCTAGAGCGTTCTTCCTTACCAAGTCAGGCTAGTTTCCCTATGCACATAGGTGTTTTAACGGATGATCTAGACATTGTAATTGTAATTTCTAATTGCGAAATGTATTCTAAATTTTTAGCCGATTCATTCATACCATTAATAATTGAGGGGCTTGGAGAACAAAGCCTATAAGTGCAGCTTTTGAAAAAATTGATATATTAATGACTTCAAGTAAGTGTAGTTTTAATGTATCGTCTGTGAAAAATTCGCTCTCAAATTGCACATTTTAAGTATCAAAACGTCTGTTTAAACTTTATTTCTGCTATGAAGATCCATGTAATTCCGAGACTTCAAACACGTATTTCTTGGAAAAGCAAAAACTGTACTTAAGGTGATTCGACGGTTGCCATTTTTTGTGTCAGAGCGGCATGCTATATATCGCAGCAATTAGTTCCATTTTTTAAGCTACTTGTCATTTTTTTCGAATTTTGAGATCGCAATTCTGTCTTCAGGAGACTATAGAGTTCACTTACCAATTTTGAAAAACTTTAACGTAATAAAGGCCTGGGTTTTTCAGAGGAAAAAGATTGCATTCGATACTAATATCGAAACTTCACTCGAATGCGATATTTTCTCTCTAAAAAACTCACACCTATATTACGTTGAATTTGTTTGTCAAAATTGGTAAGTGAATTCTTTGGTCTCCTTACAACAGAACTGCGATCTCAAAATTCGAGAAAAATGACGAGTAGCTGAAAAAATGGAGTCAATCGATGCGATATATCGCACGTCGTTTAGACACAAAATATGGCGTCCATCGAATCACCTTAAGCGCCTCGTCCTCCAAGCCCTTCGATTGTCAAGTGAACCCATTTTAAACTTCCCTCTTCAGCAATGGAAACGAGAAAACCCTCCCAAGTGAGGGTATCTCGATCGAACACACCCCCGATGTCTCCTTCGCGCGTAGCGGCGTCAACATCTTCCCGTAACACACAATCTCGCTTTTATCGAAACTGCAGTTGGACTTGAAATGCATCAATCCAACCCTCCTGATATTCGCAGGGCGCAGAACCAGGGATTCACTCTCGTCGTAGCTGCTCAGAATATGAGCGTCCAGCCACCGCTCCTCCAAAGCGATGACGTCACAGTCACCCTTCAGATCGTACCCCAGCGAGGGGAGCGTTTTAGGGATCCCCTTCGGTTCATCCGCTTTTGTGAGGATCGGATCCACTCCCAAAGCCCTTTTGGCTAGTCTCGATGTGACGTCATTGACGGGCACCGGGTTGACAGCGCTCACACAAAAAGATGACAATAAAATAGTGCAAACGATTGGTGTTACTAAATTTCTTAATATCGATCTGCGGTTGAATTCTTTACTTTGCCTGGTTCGATCTAATGACGTCATTGGATGGTTATTCATTATGCCTTTGTTTCTTCGATTGATTTCGGTTTGATTTTCTTTGGCGCACGATGTGACGCGTGCGTTTTTCTTTGTTGGGTAGTTTGTGGTTAGATCTTGGTTGATTGGTGTTACTAAATTTCTTAATATCGATCTGCGGTTGAATTCTTTACTTTGCCTGGCTCGATCCGTGTTCTCGTATGACGTCATTGATTGGTTATTCATTATGCCTTTGTTTCTTTGATTGATTTCGGTTTGATTTTCTTTGGCGCAGGGTGTGACGCATGCGTTTTTCTTCATTGGGAAGTTTGTGGTTAGATCTTGGCTCCCGTGTGGCGGAAGTACATTAGTTCTCTGAATGGACGATTGATGTTTCGTGGTTAGATCTTCACTACCGTGAGGCGTGACACATGCGTTTTTCTGGTTTGCCATTGAACCAATCACGGTTCGATTTTCGTTACGGTTGACCAATGGACCGCTCGTAGCTCGATCTTCGCCTCCGTGTGGCGTTAAAAGCGCGTTTTTGCTCGTGTTTGGGTTGACCATTGGACGGGTCTCGGTTCGATCTCCTCTGTTAAAGGATGTAGCTTGTAAGTAATCTTCTGGCTTTGTGGGCGCTGGCACATTGACCGGGGAGGTATAAGTTTGCCAAACATCTTTCAGGGCAAGCTTCATCGCCAATGCACTCCAAGATTGAAGTTGGTTTCCGTGGCTCATTTTTGGATTCGCGGCACTTCCTTGTCTCCAAAACGTGTTGTCTCCCATTAATGTGTGTCTGATGTTTACTTTCGAAGGTTGTCACTAGATCCGCCAAACGTGATTTTACATTCGATCCCTGAGAACCTGGAAACAGACATTATTTCACGCTTAATATCTCATTATAGAACATCGTATAGCTGAAATCAACACTGCCGTGCTAAGGAAGAACGCCATATGAGCCTTCAGACGTTGCCAAGCTTCCTCCGATAAAAACCGAATTTGCTTGAAAAATTGTGATTATTATTTTCCAAAATTTTCACACAATTTTTTACGCAATTTAATCTAAAATATCTGAAAATATCAAGGAAAAATACGCAAGAATTGTGTCTAAAATGCATGTTTTATTAAGAGAAATTTGGCAACTCTCTAATGTTCATACGACGTTCTTCTTTAGCACGGCAGAACACAAGAGGCTGTCCTCAAATTACGTAACGCTTTAGGGGAGAGGGGGGTCGAGGAGAACGTTACGCTATTTTGTTTTTACCTGTTATAGGATAGGGACCTACGTCACAAAACCGTTGCAATGAGGGGGGGGGTTAGGGTGTCAAAAATATCAAACAAGTGCGTTACGTAATTCACGAATGGCCCCTAAATCACGTTTCTTAATGGCCCACTGCGGGCAAGATAAGACAACGAATATATTTTTAAAAAATGTAATCCCCATCAAAATTTCACCCACTTTTTTTTCTGAGTTTAGTGAGTTTTTCCGCGCAAACTGTCAAGTAATTAAACGTTTTAAAAATTTTAATCACTTCACCTCCTTATGGTGGACACGTTCAACTTTCAACTCGGAAGTAAAAGAGTAGCTTTTTCCGTGCTCATAAAGTAATTTTCGCTCATCAAAAAATTCGTTCTCGTAAATTTTGACTTTGCTCGCTAAGAAGAAAAAAAACACAATTTACTCGAGTCAAAATGAGCGCTAAACTAATTTCAGAGCGACGCATGATGCAAATATCCTCCCAGTGTGCGACCCGCTTTTCAGATTTTTGTAACTTAGTTATTTTCTCAAAAGTAAGCATGAAATGGTTGATTTTAATCACGTCGATTTCAATGTTTTTACGAAGCAATGAGTTTGATTTTATCAATCCCAATATGACAAAGACGCTAATTTTATATCAAGAGTTAGCGTTGAAGATTTCCATCATTTGCAACTGTTTTTGCCTGCAATTTTGACGGTACAAGCATAGTTGGATTGCATTTTGCAAAAAGGAACCACTAGCATTGCAATGTTGCTAAGATTGTGCAACTTCTTTTGTCTTGGAGGAAAACCCCGATTATCCATCAAAAGTTTCTATTTTACTACCTAAAAACTGTAAATTAAAGACAAAAATTACCATCTAAATTTCATAGTTTTTCACGATTTCCGCAATTTTATTGCAAAAGATGAAGTTGCACAATCTTAGCATCATTGCAATGCTAGTGGTTCCTTTTTGCAAAATGCAATCCAGTTACTCTTCTATACTGCGAATACTATGTAAATAGCGGGCCCATTTTAAAATTTGTAGTGGCTAAAGGAGTTTTTTGTATTTCTTCAATTTTTTCCGAGATAGATCATTGGAATTCCACCCAAAGATTTCTCGTTGTTCGTCGACATTTTCTATTGAAATTCAATCTAATTTTGTAAAAATAAATTAAGTACCAATTTAATGATGTCATATTAAAGCTATCCTTAAACCTCCCTCAGTCACGCCTACCGAAAGCAGCAATTTAAGCAATAAGGACGATCTCAGACTGAAAAAAATACGATTACATTTGCTTTTTCTAAGACGTGGTATCTTACCTTAGAATAGAAACAATCGAAGCTGCAAAGGTTAATGAAAATTGCACTGCAAAAGCACGCACTGTAATCGCTAACAATATCGTGAAATTCTTTCCGTGCGACCTCACAAAAATTAAAAACACTTGTGGCTAGTTCATTAAATCGGCTATGAACTAAACGGCAAAGGAAAAAATGAACGGTACTGGTTCTTTGATGCACTTTCGTTATGTGTCTTAAAAAGTCAGAATGAAAGTTACTCGGTAAAAGGATGACGGTTACTGAAATAATTTTTTTAAAAAGCTTCAATATATACATCTGGATTTAGCGGAAGATTTTGAAGCGGGTTTCCCACCAACATGCGTCGGTAACGGCGAGATGCTGGGGAAGCCCAGCAATATGATAGGCAGGCGTAGTGTATCTGTTTAACTTCAGCCCGGTAATCTTTTAGCTCGATGGTTCCCAATGACAAAAAATTCCAGAATGAAGCCCAAAGCTTGAGCTTTTTGCCGGGAAATCCTAATAGATAAATAAGTTTGTTGCAATCCTCATATTGAGAATAACTAATAAGGAGTGATTTTTATGGAAAATAACTGAAGAATCACGATGAATGCATCAGATACGTCTTATATTCACTCCTTACCGCACAACTTACGTAAGAATTTTACGACTTTTTGAGCTTTTTATGAGAAAATCCGAATAGGTAAATAAGTTTATTGCAATCCCAAGCCAGAGCAAAGACAATAATTTATTCTCATCGGAAAAATTGAAACATCACGAAAATCGCATCATAAAAGTCTAAAAGTCACTCCTCACCTCACAACTCACGTAGAATCTGTGCGAATCTTTAGCTTCTCGCTTCAAGACATATCTTACTAAAATAATGAAATAATGAAATATTCAGTTTGTTGAGATAATCTCGAGGGAGATAAGTTTTGTAAAAAAAAAGTGAAAATATGCCCAGAGTAATTTTAGTGTGCTCATACGATTGTCAGGCCATGCGATTGCGGGTTTTAATTTGTTTAAATTTGGACGTATTTATACTGAAAGGAACTATGTTACATGCAAAGCATACATAACCAGCCTATGCAACCTTTTAGTTTAAACACTTCCATTTTTTTAATCGGTTATTAAATGAGCTTAATCTATTTATTGGGTCAAGATTTTGAGCTTCACTCTTTTGAATCTAAAAACCGCGTGAGATCCGATCAGTCCGAGAAGAAAATTGATTCCTGAACGATCGAGTAGCAAATATTCTATTGTGGAAGTTATGACGGATTTACGAGCATCATTAGGTACTTTAGTTTTGTGAATTATTCATGTTAAATTATATCACGGCTGTCAAAAGCAATTCTTGTTACCACATGTCGACAAGAAATAAAGTGAAATTGAGCTGTAGATGCAATATAGTAGCCGCTAAATTGAAGCCAAAAAAAAGAAAAATAAAATAGCAGGAAGTGGTGGGAGAGATATCAAAATGTTGCAGTGCTTAAATTTTGAATAGAAAAAAGCGACTTCTAATCTTTGCCGCTAAATTCATAAATATGTTTAATTATATTTTTTCATTGTTCACTAAATTTAAAATAAATTAAAACTTACTCGAATGACTCCTATGATTTTTTTTGTGTAACACAATAAAAAAAAGATTGAAAAACAATGAAAAAAATGCAAATTTAAAACGTCTAGGACAAAAAATTACAATAACCTCACTGAAAACAAACGAAAATAAACTCGATCGCATTCATGACCACTCAAGATTGTTTTGTCGAGACACATGCAGAAAAATGAAATCGAAACAATCCTTGGATGTAAAATTTGTGACCTTTAAAAAAGATTAGACGTCTCATCGAAGATAAAAACAAAAACCGGATATTTCCTACAAATGTTAACAAAAAAGCACTTTTTATCAAAATAAGGAAGTTCAAAATCAATCATCGCAATTATATTGCGTTGTTACACAACACCAAAACACCGTCACACACCGTCCTGTTCTTGCAGGGGCTATTACAATGCTGTTGATGGATCTAAATTTTAATAGATCCTTTTATGATCCTTTGGGGGGAGGTGACCCTATCTTATACCAGCACCTCTGGTTTTTTGGTCATCCAGAGGTTTATGTTCTTATTTTGCCAGGGTTTGGTATTGTGTCTCTAATAATATTAGCAGTTAATACGCATGCTACTTGTATATTTCCAATTAAGTACAATTTCGATTCCCAGGAAATCTAGTGGCCAGTAATGCACTCCTAACTGAGCTGCTCGTGCGTCTGGTAAATATCACCAAATTAATGCGTGACACTGAAAAAAAACTATCTCTGACTACCAAATTTTCTGGGAATCTTAATTTTATAATCAATATCCAGCAACCCTTAAAATTCTTTTTTACCCATGAATGCTAAGACCGGGAGGGTTTTTTCTGTTTTTTTCTTCGAGTGATTTCGATTAGTTCTTCGATTAGTTTCTTTCAAAATTCAAAAACCAATCTGTCAATGAGTAATGAATACGGAATCAATACGATTTCGTTTTAAAAAAAAACATGAGATTGAAAATTGGATTGTAATGTTACATTACAACGTTCTAATTTGAACTGATATTGACCATCAAGCTTTTTTATACGTATTGACCATCGAGCATTTCGATAATGACACTGACGCATGAGATAATGCACACTATCTAAAATGACAAAATACTATATTTTTATGTTCATGATGACGTCAGTATTGATGTCTCTGTTGACTACATAACCGTTGATGACGTGACTCTGTTAATAACTTCACCGTTGATGACGGCTTCATTGGTGAAATTACGATTGGTAGCGTCTTTATTGATGACGTCACTGGAGATACTATCACTATATATTACATCGCGGTCGATGCCAGATTTTGACGGCATGTGAAAAGGGAACCAGTTTTCACTTGAATTCTATGCTATTAATTCAAAAAAGAAAGTTTAAATTTTTTAAAGACACGCAAGAAAATATGTGACCGTCACGATGTACATCTCAGTCCACGGAAGCAAATTTTCAGGAGAGTAATTTCTATAAATTGGGTGGAAATATCGAAATTTGAGATTTGGGCAGAAAGCACGCCCTAGTATCCAAGAGAATATTTGGTTCCTTGTAGTCCAACGTTGGGTCAGTTGCGCTGGTCAGTTAGTCACAGAGTCGTGTTTTGATGCTTGATTCTTGTAGATCAGGTAAAAATATCAAGATCTGTCTAAACAGAAACTTTCTACGTTCAAAATTAACAGGGATATCGCCCTTTGAAAAGTCAGGTTTTTGACGTCATTCACCGTGGTATAGTGACGCCCTTGGTTTCCTCCACCTTGTTTCATCAGTTGGTGTGACGCACATTTGCACTTGTTTCTCTATAACGTAAAACTCGAATGAAAGCAAGGTGGAAGAAACTAAAGGTGTCACTACCGCATTATCATGTGATGATGTCAAAAACCCGAATTTTCAAAGGGGGATTTCTTGGTATATATTAAGCGTAGAAAGGTGCTGTTCCAACAGATCTTCTTATTTTTACCTGATCTATAAAAATTAAGCACCAAAACACGATTCTGTGATCAGTGGGACTGACCCATTATATTGAGACTTGACATTGTGTTCCTCTCTGAAACCTACTTTTGTTGAACTGCAAACTTTGAACAGTATAGCTCTAGTTTTAATTGATATTTTCGGACCTTTAATTTTGTATGCCCAAGTATTCTAAAAAATTTCTTCTACGCAGTGGAACCATTTTTATTGAGTTATTTTCGCTAGAAAGCTTCCATTCTCCTTAGAAAGTCGCGCATAAAAAAGTGGCACCCATGTATTGGAATATCATACTGCAATTTTAATTGTTAATGTAAGTATACTTACCTTTCTTCCTTGGTAATTTTACCATGACAGTTTTTTCTAAGGAAGCACTCATCCAACTGAGATCGTTTTCACTTTAGTACAAAACGTGAAAAAAATTCGATGTGCGACAATGTGACACTCAAGACTGAACTAAATTATATTAAGGTCATCCAGAGAGTAATGTAGTTCATATCTCAGGGACTAAAAATGATAAATTAGAAGTGCAAGTAGTCCCTGATTTCTTATATCCAGAGCTCCTCATACATAGCTCAAGTTTTTTTTTAAAAAAATTTGGATCAGCGATGTGCAAGAAAATAGATTTTCTCGCAAAAAACTCCCAGCAAGTGTCATCAAATGAAAGACGGATCTACCGCGCACACGCACTCCTTACTTTGAGCTATCCGACTAAAGTTTTTCCAGCGTATAAATGCCCGGTTTCAATAATATGAATCCCCGATTTCAATAATTTGAACATGTATCGACAAAAGATCGTAAATTCGTCAATTTTATGACGACAGCGGCCCACTCCTTGTGCGATATAAATCGTTTTCTTCATAATGATTGGGACAAGCAGCACAATTTCGCACTTTCCCGCGAAAAATTCCGCTAATCACACACATGTTTTAAACTCATGTGTGTCAACGCCAGTGATTCCATTGTTATCTGTCATACTAAATTGTAATAATTTATCTCATTTCTAACCATTTAAAGGGCTATCGAGGCAAATTCCGGCAAACCAGGTCTGTACAATCGTTATCATTCTAATTAAAAATACAATATAAATCTCGGATTATCTAAACTAATGTGGCAGTCGGCCGGTTCGGATAATCCGGAGTCAGTTTTTACTTTTCGTTAAATGAATGCAAAGCTAATGAAATGAGTGTTAATTTCTTTAATTTTTCACTTCCGTATACAAAATTGGTTTGCAGATATATAGTTCTTATGTACAAAAGTTTGTTTAATACTTCGCTATTTAAAATTGCGCACGGTCAGCTGCCAGAAAGTGTACGTATAGAGGAGGTTAACTAATTCCCCAGCTCTAATTTGTAAATCTACACAGGAGGAGCAACTATTCGTGCTCTGGTGCCGTGTTAATTGCCTATACTCGTGATTCCAGGCGTTTTTAGGGGCATGTTTCTTGAGGCTGTGAGTTCTGTTACTTGTGTCTGATCGTAGTTTAGAATAGTGCCGTGTTAAGGAAAAACGCCGTATGGACCTTCAGGTGTTGCCAAATTTCTTTTAATAAAACACGAATTTTCTGTTACACTTGTGAATGTTTTCCCTCCAATTTAATCAGATCATTTTGTTCCCAATTTCACCTGAAGTTCCTGGAAATTTCAAGGAAAAAGATTCATAACGTTCTGCAAAAATATATGTTTTATCGAAGAAAATTTGGCAACCCCTGAATGATCATCAGCACGGCAGAATATACGCGCGTTATTACTGATTAGAATGATGATCCATGACATTGACTCATCACACTACCTAGACCGTTATGGTTGCCTGAGTAAATTTAAGGAAATCTTGGATTTTTAAAACTACAACAATTAACCTCATTTTCATCCTTCAGAACATTGATAGTTCATAGCTTCTAAGCATATTCGTAAGCTCATCAAGTGCCAGGCAAACAAATCTAGGTTTAACAGAGTGAAATGACACAATTACATCAATGGAATAGTAAAAGTATATGACCTCTCTCACTTAAATTAATAAATAATTACAATCTAAAGTCCACTGAATTGGCGTGACTGCTTGAAAGCGAGGAATTGAAGTCAAGATAAAACAGTTTCTTCTCTCGATTTTTTTGAATTTCAGATAACGAAGAAAAGTGAACGTAATTTTTATATTTGCAACGGAGGTCTGTCGTTCGAAGATAAAACATTCAGGCTGCAAGGTTTAGTTTTATCTATTTGTATAACTTGCATCAAGTCTGAGCTTTGTTGTTCAGGTTCTTAATATGTGTTACACTTTTTAATACGTTTAAAATTCCTTTCCATTTACGCTTGGAAGTGTGGTACGTCATACAAGAGAGTAAACAAATGAAGGAAAACAACGCGACTTCAACAATGATAAATAATTAGATGCATTCTCTTTACAAATTCAATTTTCATTTGTAAAATGAAAATTTTTTTGGGAAAAAATGACAATGAGCTGTGCAGCTCTCTTTTTACTTGAGCTGCTGAACGAAGCTGGTATAAATGTATAAAATGAATGGATGGGACAGAGTAAGAAGTGTTCTATTAAATTTAAACCAACAAATTAAAATAAGTACTTCATTGGTAAAACTTTCTCGGATTACCTGTAGTACTACATAGATTCATTTATTTATCATGTTGTTTAATTACAAACTACGAAGTGAGCGGTTTGATAGTTTTCTGTATGATTTGTGTTGCCTTTTCAAAATCACTGAAAACGTTTTTTCTCAAGATTCCTTTTCCTTTTTTCTTTTATTTTGACTTAAGGCATCGTTTCTTGTCAACAATTCTTTTTTTTTCTAAAGTGAAAGAAACGTTGTTTTGTCATTTTAACTTAAACTTAACGATGGCAAAGCAATGTTTCTGTAACTCAGAAAAACTGACTTTAACTTAAATCAAAAAGTATGTTATTTAAAAAAAATGTGTCGACAAGAAACGACGTTTTAAGTCAGAATGATATCTTTAAAAAAAAATGTTCGGTGAATATAACTTGCATTCATGCAGGAATGATAAAGCCTGTTTTTTCGAAATAATAACTAATACGACTGGAAATTTTGAAACTTTTTACTCGAGATAAATGTTTTCAATCATTGATGTGGTCACACAAGTAAGAGTCTAAAATAATTTTATAAAGAGACAAATACAGACCACTTATTGCCCTCCTAGCAATGAGTGGGAGCTTTCAATTTCGAGCAGTGGTGTGGCGTGCTTTGTGATATATCGATTGATCGGCCATTTAAACCTATGGAAAAATATCGATAAACAGGGTGTTCGCAGCGAAAACCTTAATAATCGAGTATTTACCACAGCTTCAAATGGGGAAATATCGATGGATCGCAAAGTACGCCTCGCCACTGATTCGAGACAGTACTAGGGCCCGAGTAGAAGAGGTTGCATTATGTCGGGGTGCTTAGTAAGTCGCCGATTCTCTCATTGAAGGGGCTATTTTCATACAAATGTAATGCAATGAATGGAAATAAGTTGATATATTTCTCCATTGCAAACTTTCTACCCATAACATTCAAATCGGTATTTTACGACCAAATGATGCAGAAATATTGCAGTTTCACGATGAAAAATTTGTGATTTCATCTCACAAAGTTGCAAAATTATTTCAATTATTTTGCCACACCATGCTATAGTCCACGCTAAATAAGTTTACGATATTCTAAACTACGACAGAAGATCGTCTAACTTCACTTTTACGTGTACAAGAAATGGAATGATTTTGAGGGCAGATTTTCTGTCGCATGGTGCGTAGACTTATTTGCTGTGGCCCCTTATTCTACCGTGCTAAGAAAGAACGCCTTATATGAACATTCGAGAGCTGCCAAAGTTCCCGGATAAAAACAGTTGTGTGACGTGCTTTGGCATAGATTGATCTGCCATATAATATTATAGAAAAGTATTGGTAAACAGGGTCTTCGCAATGAACACCTTAATATCGATTCTTACCGCACCTTCACATGGGGAAATATCGATAATAATCGATCAGCCTTTTCTCTCCACTGGATAAAATATGTGTTTTTGACAAAATGTTTGCATATTCTTCAGTGAAAGTTTCAGATATTTTAGATTGAGTAGCGAACAAAATACAGTATGTTGGAATTTTTTAGCCAACGTGCGTTAAAAATCAGCATGAAGCTGAAAACTGCACTGAGGATTGGCCCAATAAGTCCGAAACGCGTCTGTAGTTACCTTCCTGAATGGTCGTTACTAGTGTTGCACCAAATAGCTTATCTCTTTGAGGGGAAAAGTGTGCTTGTGTGTGAGCTTTTTCGCTCTGTTTTGAGATTTTCAGCTTTATGCTGATGTTTAACGCACGCCCTGGCTAAAACATTCCAACATATTGTCTTACGACCCGTGCGTACATCGCAATCAGTTTGTAACGAACAAAATAGTCTTAAAAATTTGAAGCAAAATATTCACAACTGCTCCAATGAATTCGTATTTTATCAGAAGAAATTTGGCAAAGTCCGAGGGTTCATACGACATTTCCCCAGGGTACGGCAGACTTGGGTATATTGGACGTATTTCTGCCAAACGGAACTATGTGCATTGAGTTACGATCCCCCATAAGAATATATGCATAACGGTTATAGGACATTTCGTCCACGATTTTTTGTCCGCACACCTGTTTTTTCCAGTAATTTACGTCCACGCGTTTTTTTGGCACGGGAGTTTTGGTCCCAGTGCCAGTTGAGACCCATAGTTAATTGACCCACATAAAAATACAAACGACAATTGCTCGCGACGTTTTTAGATGAAAATGTTCGAGTGTAATGTCTTGGAAGAATGAGGGTTTGCTTGTTTTTTTGTTTTGTCTGTTTGGTCCAACGCAGAATAATATGTAGTTGAGAGTTTTGGTAAAAATGGGGGAGCGTCAATTCCATGAGACAAAATTCACTAAAACTCTCTACACCTCTTTGGTGTAACAGAACTTAATTATCTTTCAAGAAATTCCCACCTTGTTATACCTGAACCGGATAAACCTCTGTATTTGCCTCAGCAAAAGGCTCTTAGATTTTTCTTGTGTACGATAAGTATCTTGATTTATTTTGCGAGGAAAGATCTGTACTTTTAAAGGATGCCTGCATTCTTAATACGTTCAATTTCGTATAATACTGTGCAACACTTCTGTTGTGAAATAGTTGCTTCAGGCGGCGCCGCACGGCGAGCGGGCGGCCAGCGCGAATGGCGCCTACAAACCTAAGTGGATACTTCAAGCATTGTGCAATGCGTGAAGTATCCACTTAGGTTTGTAGGCGCCAGTGAGCCTCTCGCGCTGGCAGCACGCCGCTCCTCTTTGTAAGGCTTTAATATCTATACACGCATAGTCAGCGTTTTTTAACTCATGGTTTTGAAATGTTTGCACACTCTGCATTGATTATTCTCATTTAAATTGATGGGGAAAAAATATGTATCAATTTATTAAAGGAGAATAATAATATACTGTGTGTTTTTTAAATATTGGCGATTCCGTGTCAAATTTAATGATTTCCAAAGCACTTTAATTTTTTCTTTTACATTTTGTGCTTTTATTGTGCTGCAGCGAGATGTACGCGCAACGAAACGCTTAAAATTTGACGTATTTGACTGTAAAAGATCTATGTACAAATGGGTTAAAACTAAAGATTGCGTGCTTCTTGGTTTTTTTTTCATCTTTTATTCATTTTTGCGGTTTCTGTCGGCACAACTGCGGCTCATTGAGATTAATGTCGCTTGGGAAAGGTTTAACAAATATTTGTCACGTTTTAAAAATATAAATGTTTTCAAAATGAAGTAATAATTTCGTAAAGAAAAAAGTTAAAAAAATAAAAAAAAAAGTACCTATACATATATTAGGTATATTGTACATCGAATATTTTAAGGATAGAAATAAAACCAAATTTTCACGAACGACAATTTAAAAAGATGTTTCAAAAGGAGAAAGTAATAACATTCCATTTAGAAAATGAACAACCATAACAACACCTCCTTCCCTCTCAATTTCTCATTTCCATATTGTCAGTATAATTTTACATACCGACTAAAATATAACGCTTGGACCAAGTCACTGTTGCTTATTTTACGTGTGGGCGTAAACTACTGGACAAGAAAGGTGCGCGGACAAAAAATTGTTGACAAAACGTCCTGAAACCTGCATAACAGGTCTCATAATGCACATAGTTCCGTTTGATAGAAATACGACCTATTATCAGATGGTCTCTATTTGATGGAGATGTTGCATGTGTGAGGAATGTGCAATTTGAATGTTGATTCTTGTGTAAAAGTTCGCGAGAAACACAATGATGCCACTGGTTTTCTCTGAAATCGTCTCCCAAGCTCAAAAAAAGCTCTCTAAGTGAGGCCAAAATGGAGGGGATATCCCACCCTACCCTGAAAGTCCACCGCTACATCAAAACAATGTCTCCATGCAAAGATAGGGAGCAAATACATTGACAGGGCTGCCACTTCATTTGGGGACTCCAAAACTGAAAACACGGCATCACTGCTAATGTATTTGCTCCCTATCGTTGCACGGAGAGTTTGTTTTGATGTAGAGGTGGACTCTCAGGGTAGGATGGGATATCCCCTCCATTTTGGCCTCAAGTTGAGGGCTTTTTTGAGCTTGGGGGATGATTTCAGAGAAAACCAGTGGCACCATCGTGTTTCTCGCGAACTTTTGCATAAGAATCAACATTCAAATCGCAAATCCCTCACACATGCAACATCTCCATTCACCTCTGATTATCACAGAAATTATAGAGAGAGTGCGCTCTCATGAACATCAGGATACTTGAACACGCTACACGGACTCCTCTTGCTTTTGCAGCCTCACATGATAGAGCACCACCGCTATCACTAACAAGACTATCCCAACAACGAGAGCAATCATGCAGAACACATTCGCCCAATCGACAAAATCGAGTCGACTCAAAGATTCCCCGAACTCTTGTCCACCACCCGAGCTCAAAGGGAAAGTCAGTGTCACTTCCGCACTGGTGGAATTTCTCGTGGAGTACGCTGAAATCCGACAGTAGCCCTTCTCACTCTTCGTCGAAATCGTCGTGAACGAGAAGTACGTAACTTTGCACTTTTCAACGGACGTGCAACACTGCAGAGTGTGGTGCTCGTTACCAGAACCGCTTAAAATATAACAGGACGGTTTGTTGTCGAAACCGAGTTCCTTGATCAGCCTCGCCTTGTCCCAGCTGTACAGGTCGCAGGCCGTGATTTTCCAGTTTCGCGTGGATTTCAACCGCATGTCCGCCACGTACCGCCGGAGAGACATGTCCAGTTGCGCGACTTCCAGTTTCACCCAAACGTGGCCCACTTTGACGGCTTCGACCAATGAGTCGTCGTCCAGGCTTTCGAGTTGCTTTGCTTGTTGCAGGTGTGAAACGCCCTTTTGGTTGAGGGCGCCGATCGCGCTTGGTTGGAGGGTGCACTCGCACGCGCAGTTGAGCGGGGCTGAACACGTGACCTTAAAATCAAAAATAAACATTCACATTAAAAAAATACTCGCAAAAAAAAGGATGTGTCCCATATCCCAATCAGGATGGTATTTTGGCCATAACTTTGGTCGAAAATTGAAACAGCTTAGAATAATGTCATGTATGGTCAAAGCTACTATTAATAATCTACCCTATGAGAACTTGTCCTTATTTGAGGTGGTTTTTAAAGGTTTTTGCCTCAATTAGATACCACCGCAAAGTAGTGAAGTTTTGTAGTTTCCTCGAATAATTGCTCATTTTCGGTCCTAAATTAGATTGTTTATGCATGCGCACAAGCGACTACCTCTTTCATATTCGAATATGTTAATCTTTAGTACACCTATTACAACATATTTACAGGAGACCATGGTAGTCACTTGTGCTCATACATAAAAAATCTAAATTAGGACCGAAAATGAGCAATTATTCGAGGAAACTACAAAACTTCACTACTTTGCGGTGGTAAATGAGGCAAACACCTTTAAAAACCACCTCAATTAAGGACAAGTTCTCAGAGGGTAGATGATTAAGAGTCGATTTGACCACACATGAAATTATTCTAAGCTGTTTCAATTTTCGACCACAGTTAGGGCCAAATTACCCTCTTTAATGGGACACATCCTTTCAGAGGAAATAAGGAGTTATCGGTCTCGGAAGATCTCTAAGATCAGGGTATCATCCATTCTGAAGGATTGTCCCTGCCGGACGTTGCTCAGTTTTAACTAATTCCTGGCTTATCCATAAAAAACCCTATCGGTATAGGAAAAGGATGCCGTCTTAACATTCTGGATGTTTAAAATGTGTGCGACAACTCACAAAACGCTTAGTTAACTGCCACAGCAGTTATAGCAATATCAAGATGTAAAGCCAACCGCCGTGGCTGTTGTAAGTTTTCGCACACCTTTTTTTCATCCAGAATGGTAAGGCAGCATCCTTTTCTTTCCAGTGTAATTGTTATTAATAATATTCTTACCTTGGGTGTAGCATAAATCGCGTTCTTCCCATCAGATTGGTACTCTCCAAAGACACCGCTCTCAGGACAGCCGACAGGGGCGCTGTCAACGTAGTATATCTCCTCGCCGTATCGCAACAAAGATCGCGATACCTGCGAATCCCAACCTGCAATGGAAAGCGTCAGATTTTTCACGCCCAAGAGACCCAAACCCTGCAAGTTCAGCTGGAAGGACCCGTCCTCGCACACGGTAACAACTTGCGAGTAGTTCGACCCGCTCGTGAAATTGAACCCGCTAACTTGGAATTCCAGTTCTGGGGCGCCGTGGTACACATCGTAAAGCTCGCCCTTCTGCCTCAGCTCGGTGGACGTTGAGCAAACCTTGTTGGATGTTGAGCATTCGGTGCTGTTGGTGGTGTCACACCAGTAGCTTACGACTGCTCCCTCATTTGTGTCTATGCTACATAGGGTATTCGACTGTGTTTTTAGGATGACGTCATAGTCTGAGGTATAGTACGCTGCTTTGTATCTCGTTTTCTGCGTCAGATTTGTGAAGAGTAATGATATACTTTCTCCATACTCATCTTCGATACATAGTCGTTGGTCCTCGGTGAGATTTAAGAGGACTGGATACACGCTCGTTTGTATTTTGAACACTGCGTTGCAGGTATTAGCGGATGAGCAGGATAAAATTTGGCATATTATAAACAAGGCTAACGCGGCTCTTAGAGCGGTGTTTTGGTTCTTGAATCGATTCCGGACTGTCTGGTTTAAGAGGTGTCCTGCGCTGTGATTAACGGAGGTCATTGCTGATCTATTGGCTGAGTCTACACGTTGCTTAAACTCGGATAGTCTGATATGGTTGAATTGTAGTTGGTCAGCTGTGATTTCATGGATGTTCGAGTTTTTGGTCGATGTCTGAACGTTCAGATTCTGAAATTTTGCACATGCTTCGGAGGGAACCTGCAGAAGAGACAAAGCTACTTGAGCAAACAGTAAATTTACAGTAATCACCAAGAAAGATTAATGACTTTAACAAGTATTACAAAATGAGAGATATTAGTCAGGAATAATATATATTATAGAGACTTGCACTGCTGTCTTATGCTCAAAAGTGTGGTAGTGGACGCTCAGATTTTGCTAATGATAAGGCACCGTGGATCGAGTCAATACGAGCGGTTAGAAAAAATTTGAAAACGTTAAACGCTTATAACTCCGTTTATACAAAACTTTGCGGCTTTTGAAGTTGTTTCATTGGTTTCCTCGTAAAATCTACTTTCAGAGGCACCCCTCAAAATTTAAAATGTGACAAAATAACATCAAAATTTGCAGTTTTAGTCAAAATATCATGTCGGACCTCTCTGATTGACTTGATTCAGTGTGTGACGCAGGAATAAAGAGTCGAGCCAATCGAGCCATCGTGTTAGAAATCTTAGTCTAATTTAACTTTCGATGGCTAATAAACAAGACCACCTATCTGCAAACTAATGATTTTGTAGAGCAAAGAGAAAATCTCGTCATTTTTGTAATTTTAAGGTTGGATTTGCATTTCGACGGTGAAACTACCAAACCACGTATCTCGTTTGCGGTGTTTAAAAATCTACGCTCACATTTTATTTTTTTGAGGTAGACCAAATCAATATCATTCTTTGAAATTTTCAAGGAATTTTCTCCGCACGAAGAAGAAAAATCACAGAAATTTTCAAGACTGGATGTTGCGTAGTTTTTCATTTAAAAAATAAAGTATGACAGGAAGTCTGCGACGTCGCAAACCGAGATACGTGGTTTGGTAGTTTCACCGTCGATTTCTATCATACATTGCAGCATTATTGAAGCGCTCCCCTGCAGAATGGACCAGTAGACAAGGTACGAATTTCAGCGTTCTGATACACGTTTCATAACCAAAATTTCACGTAGAACATGATGTACACAACGAAAATTACCAAAATCAACTCCTTACGAAGATATAAAATGATTCTTCATGCGTGAATTCAAACCACCCGCTCATGAAAACTCAATGCTCTACGTGACTCACATTCGCACGCTAATAAACGTTATCATGACGGTCTCTGCGATATAAAAATCTGGCAACCTCAATCTTGACGCTTTAGCTCAGCTATAGCAATTTGCCTATAGTTTGAACGACACATGGTGGGAAATGAACATTGCTGAATTGAGAAGCTCGCTGAAACCGTTGTAGTGCGCGATTTGACTCACGTAGAGCTTTGAGTTTCTTGTGAGCGGGCAGTTCAAATTCCTCGTAACCAATGTGAAATAAACATGTTAATACCTCCGTCAGGAGTCGGTTTCATTAGTTTTCGTTGCGCGAACCGTGTTCTATGTGAAATTCTGGTCAAGAAACATGTATCAGAATGCTTGAATTCGTACCTTATCTAGTGGTCCATTGGAAAAACAAGCAGTGAACTCCAACACAATGTGTTGATAAGGCGCGTCATTAACTCGCACATATCAACCCCTTTAGTTTTCATTTACAGAGATTTCAAAATAGGCAAACAGCATAAAAAGAGAATTCACGATCCAACACTGCGAGGTCAAAGACGCACCTTGACGAGACCGTGTATTGTGAAAGTAGAAAGCTATTCGATTGAATTTAAGTTTTTTGATCTGCCTCAAGCAAAATCTTATCAGATTCTTGAAGAAAAGTGCTACGGAATAATTTAAGCGAAGAAAGGAAAAATTCTGTCGAACTCCTAGAAGATAAAGTCGATTTAAAGGTATTTTGGGGCTAAAATACCCAAATCACCGGTAGTAAAAATCCCGTTATATTATTGAAAAGAAATTGACTCGATATAAATGCAATTGCATTAAATACGTCTTGATTTTGTTATTTTAAACGTCTTTCCATGCAAAGAAGTTCAACCATGTCGTTGCTTTATTCATTCATGAATTGAAAGTAAGCAATCTACATCCCGAAAATCTACTGATTTGCCGTAAAAAATTGCAGAAACTTGATATACCAGGTCGATGCACCCACTCGTTGAATTTACCAACCAATTTTGTGAGTGCAAATGTGTAAGAATCAATATGCTATAGTCATTTTGGGTGCATTTATTTTTCATGAAACAATAATAATTTCAATCCCGAAAAACCATCAATTTTCCGTATAAAATCGAAAAAATCAAAATATGTCAACTCCCCGACGTGAAAATTAGATTCTACGTATGTAAAATGTAAATACTTATGTATCGATATGCTGAACAGAACTATGTGTGGACAGTCAGAAGCCCGCGGCAACATTAATTCAACAGAAAAACTGTAAAAATTAGATAGGATTTTAGCCGCTTTGCCCGCCTCTCCTCGCTACTTACAACAAACCGTTCTTATACTCATCTCAAAATTTTTCTCAGAGCTTTGGGTTATTATCAGCTTCCATTTAAACTCCGGTTCGATGGCCGAATCGGCTGCCAAAAAAGCAAGCCACTGTTGAGGGGTTCTATGAGAAATTCGTGATATTATCGGCTCTCAGGAAATCACCCCATGGCTAAAATTGGTGGTATAAATGTTTAAGTGCTTAAAATAATCGTATTCAAGAAACTAAGGAATTAAACTATGGAGTCAATTTCTTTTTAATAATATAACGAATTTACTACCGGTGGTTTAGCTATTATAGCCCCAGAATACTTTTAAAGCGCCTTTGCGTTCCAGAATCTCGACGGAATTTTTTTTTGTTTTTTTTTTGCTTAAACGATTCAAGAAACATTGTAGTTAAAAATATAAAGATTTTTCGATTTGGACGTATGAAAAATGTTTAACTCGTTCAGGCACACCGTGTATTGTATGGAGTACTGCTGTTATTCGACCGTTGTCTTCAGGTCAAAATTCTTACAAAGAAGCCCCTTGCAAGAGGCAAATTTTTTGTAATTTCTCCCAGTTTTTTCAGCGTTAGGTATATAAATGAATTGTTTGTCAAATTTTGAGGTCAATTATATTTAATTGTAATTTATACTTTCTTTTTTCCCCCTTCATTTTATTTTTCGTATCGAGGAGTCGAGGTTTTGTTGATTTCTTCGGATTTCGATTACTGTAACTTCTCTTCTATTCGGCCGATTTTTATGAATGAGGTCTCTTTTTATTTGTGTTTTAACGGAGAGTAAGGAAAAAATTGCTAAATACATGCGAAACAATTTTTTTTGAAAATTGGATGAATCCTAGCGTGACGGTGAAATGGTTAATGAAGCGTGAGTAATTGGGGTACGGGTATCGGCCGCGTTGGGACCCAAGGCCCATTGTTCTTCGTGACGCCGACGCAGTGATCAGGAGCGTGGGGACGAGAGGGCTTAGTGGACTCCTGTATGAGCCACGTTTAGCAAATGGTCTAATGAGTCTCGAGGCTCATCACAGATTGCACTTACCACTATCCTGGTGGCCCCGGCTATCAGAGCAAGGAGTACCAACTTTTGAAAAGGATAACAGTGTTGTGGAGATATGTCAAAGCAACGTTGTGAACAAAACGGAGTGAGTGAAATTCTCATTCAAGGAGTGCCGAACTGGTCAGCCATCCTCGAATCAGTTCGCTTGCTTCCGCTTATATATGCATATTTTAAATCAGCGCGCCCCATTCTAAGGTTTTTTTAAAAAAAACCAAGAAACGTAGACTCTTGGTATTCATTACACATAAACTAGCGAGCCCCAGAATGAGAAACAAATTTTAATCATTATTATTGACGGATTAGTAAACTTTTTACACGCTTTGGAAAATCTCAGAAGTTCGCGGTAGTCACTTTTCGGTAAGGAACTAGGGGACTCGGTTATTGTATCGAGGGGGGGGGTCGAAACGATCGCAAAGGCGGTATACTACGTATACGCGCCAAAACTAAAATCATCAGCTTGCTTATTTTATTCTGTAGAATGCGGTAAAATGGACCACTAGACAAGGTACGAATTAAAGGATTCTGATACATGTTTCTCAACCAAAATTTCACGCAGAACACGATTCGCGCAACGAAAATGACTGAAACCGACTCCTAACGAAGATATTAACGTTTTTATTTCACATTGGTTACGAGGAATTTAAACCGCCCGCTCACAAGGAACTCAAAGCTCTACGTGAGTCAAATCTCGCACTACAACGGTTTCAGCAAGGTCTAAAGCGAGCAATGTTCATTTCCCATCATAAGTTGTTCAAATTATAAGAAATTTGCTACAGCTGAGCCAAAGCGTAAAGATTGAGGTTGCCAGATTTTTATATCGCAGAGACTGTCATGATAATGTTTAGCGCGCGATGTGAATCAAGCAGAGCATTAAGTTTTTATGAGCGCGTGGTTTGAATTCACGCACCAAGAATCGTTGAATATCTTCGTTAGGAGTTGATTTCGGTAATTTTCGTTGTGCGTATCGTGTTTTTCGTGAAATTTTGGACAAGACACATGTATCAGAATGCTGAAATTCGTACCTTGTCTAGTGATCCATTGCAAACTCTTTTTTGCCAAAATTTTCAGTCAGGAGGTATTGCCGTTAGCCCTCGTTTTGCCTCACGATTACATCGCTTAGATTATTAGAGCGAGGCCCTATAAATATATTGTCTGCGCTATCAGTACATTCAAGTAAAGCTTGTGTGGGGAAAATTCAAATCGTGATGAAATTGAATGTGATGCTGCTGACTCGCTCTCCCGCGAAAAAAGGAAGTAATATTGGAAAATTAAAAAAACCGCGAGCCTCTGTTTTTCTCGTTTCACTATCGATGCATGTATCAACATATCGTGAACCCATTATTAGAGTCTGCTAAAAAGCCTATGAAGATGCCTTGAAAAATACATCTTTTCTCCGTTTCTAACGCCTCGGGCGATACTAAGGTCACAAAGTCACTGAAGTGATAAGATATTTGCGTCTCCGCTGATTGTTATGTGCTGTTTCTGATATTAATATGCACGGCTCTTCATTCATATATACTCGTGTGCTAAATACTCAACACCTAACGCACAAATCTAAGAATTTCTTCTACCGACTTAATTTTTATCTTGATTTCAAAATTGAGTGATCATCTTTGATATGGCTCACTAACTACACTGGTGGTAAGTGACTTGATCGAAGCGGACATTTTCTGCACTGGAATAAAAAAACATTGGATCTAGAGTCCAGGCTCTCAAAAACATCGACAAGAAAAAATACTCTTGATTCAATCAGATTTAAGCTTAAATCAAGAACTCAGCCTCTTAATTTGAGCAGATTTCCTTTTGATTTAAGCTTAAATCTGATTGAGTCAAGAGTCCTTTTTCTTCTCAATGTTTTCAAGAGTCTGGACTCTAGATCCAATGTGTTTTTTATTTTCAGTTGTGAAATTTGACGCCCGAAAGAAACGAGTAAACAGGGGGTGAAGGGGTGAGAAGAAGGCTAACAGGGTTCTCTCTGGCTGCTAATCAGTCCAATCCTGGATGGGGCAGCCTCGTGATTTGATGACACTATTCAGGCTCATTTAGAGACTAGTACTTGCCAATAGCAAATCAAAAATCGCGCAAATAGACTCAAAATATTTTTAGGAACAAATAAATTGTATAAAAAAAAATTGAAATGGTAGGGATTCTACCTATAATGGCCATGCCTTATTTTCACGCAACTTCAGTTCCACACGTTTTCCAACAATGTGCATTTAGATCAAATTGAATTCAGAATATGACCAAATTTCAATTAAAGAATGACTTCAAATAACAGATTTGCAAACTCGGCCAACCTTGTCCGAAATTTCCCTGCTGAAAATGATAACATCAGTACCATGTTGGCGGCAGTATTACCAAGTTTCACTCACCAACAATTTCGTTTCCAGCAAAGTCTTATCAAAATTTTTAAAACTTGCTTGAATTCCCATGAAACTCTACATTTTCAAGGATCTCCCCTAAAACTGCGACATTATTTCCAGCAAAAAACAATTCAATGGAATTAAAACCTATCTGACGGAATTCGACTTATTGATTAGTTTATATTAGCGTCAAACATCATTAAATTTTTGTCCGAATCAGATTTTTTGTTTTCGAAATTGGACCAAGTTTGGAACAACTCATGTCTTGAAAAATCAACAATGTTTTATATATTGGCACAGTTAGTCAAGAAACGATACAAATTTGATCATTATCGGAATGCAATGTTGTCCAATTGTGCCATCATGGAAATCGTGTGAAACTGGATATTTGTATAACTGCAAGAATGATAAAATTCACTTACCTGATTATCTTAAGATAGCGTGGTATCCAAATCACTGGTTAAACATGTTTTTTTTTAGCACAAGGAGAACTTTATGTGAGAAAAGTGAGTAAACGTGAAGTAAATCTTGATCTCAATAAAATTCCTGAAATAAAGGTAACTTTGCAAAAGCAGTTGATCGCCAGGTTCGTTAGTCCATGCGACTGGCGCTATGGATTTATGGGGCATTTTCCGTCTCAGATTGGTGACCTAGTGACCTTGAGAGAGGGAGTTAGGGGGCGAGGTGAGGAGATAGGCAAGATTTGAGATTAAAGTTTGAATGACTGAATCATCACAATGATTCTATTCATTTGATGAAAAAGCGAAAGTGCCGACAGAACATCTATGCCGTTAATAGACTTGTGTTGCAGAAAGTTTATTTTTTTTGTTGAAGTTCCCCTTTTTACATTCAGCTGCTATGCTCTGATCGAATGAATTATTTCATAATAGGCAAGTAAATGACGAATGGTTCAAACATCAAAACATGTTTTCCCTCATTGTTTTACCAAAGCAATAAAAAAAAATTGATGAATGCAGTTCGTCGTCACCCTCACGAAAGAACGGAACTATTTCAATGTTGCCGAATTTTCCCTCGCAAATTGCAGTGTTACCAGAAATATCCTTGGCATATCTGACTTGACATTTCACTGATTTTTTTTCTGATCTTATGCAAAAATAAAGTAAGAAAGTAATCTGAACAAAAATTTCACTTATACATCTTTGTAGGAAAATGAATTGTTTGAGTTCATTTTGCAATATTGGATCAGAGCTACGTCCTTTCGTCAAGGGATCGACGAATTTACAGCTTTAAAAAATACACCCGAGTTTTACTCGACATTCTCAGAATGATAATTATTTAGAAATGTAACTTATGATAAATTGTGATGAGAGAAAATGAACGAATAAGTATTATACGTAAATGATCAAATTATTGCATGTAAAAAGTAAAATTTTTTTTTTTTTTTTTTTTTTTTGCCTGCATCACATGCCAAGGATTTTTATCGTATATTAATGCTTTTATGGATCTTCAGTGTATTTTTCAAAGAATACTATTTTTGTTGTTGTTTTTCTAAATACCTAAAAAATAACCATTACAATTTTGATCACTTCAGTGTCAAGCAGAATTTCAAATTTTAATTTTAAATTTATCTTTAGAAGAGCGCTCTCCTGAAAAAATTGCCGTCGTGCTTTGATGGGGATTTTTTTCCATGGACTTTCAAAGATTGCTAGATTGGGTCAAAAAATTATTCTAGATTTTGATATTGCACGTTACTGCTCCTGTTCCCTTTTATTAAGGAAAATTAACCAAGAGTCATTTTTTTTTCTTCTTCTTCTTCTTCTTTGAAAGTTTATGTGAGTTTTCTTCGCTCATTCAAAAAAGGTGGGTAGCATTTACCATACTCTGGTTAAAAAACGGCACAACCATACAGTATGGTAACTTCCACCAAAATTATTGTCACAATTCGGAAAAATCTTGTTACTTTCATGATATTTATGATAAAAGTTACCATACTCTATGGTTGTGCCGTTTATTTACCAGAATATGGTAAATGCTACCTATTTTTTCCGCGTTGAACGGTCCTTCAATCAAATGTAACGCAAGAACACAAATATACGTATTTTTACCAGTGCACATTATAAATAAAATAAAATATGATAATTTTGACGAAATTTACCATACTCTATGGTTGTGCCGTTAATTACCAGAATTTGATAAATGCTACCTAATTTTTCTCCGCGTTGAACGGTCCTTTAATCAAATGTAACGCAAAAACACAAATACATATCGACGATGTAAGTCGGCAATCACATAACTCGGTTTGCGACGTCGCAGACTTCCTGTCACACGTTATTTTTTAAACGGAAAACTACTCTGCGGCAATTCTTTAAAACTTCCGTGATTTTTCCTCTCTGTGCGAAGAAAATTCTGCATAAACTTTAAGGAATGATTTCAATTTGTTCTCTTTTAAAAAATAACATAGAGGCGGAGATTTTCAGACACCGCAAACAAGTTATGTGATTGCCGACTTACACCGTCAATGTACGTATTTTTACCAGTGCACATTATTAATAAAACAAACACGTTCTTTTTTTTCTTTTTCTTTTTTAATTTTCATATTTCCACAAGATAGTTGACCGCCCGAAACGAGAGCACCAATAGGAACGCCGTGACCGAACACACAGAGCCAACGATCATCATCTTGGTGGTCATCGGGTGGTCATGCCGGGGTTTCTCCCCGTCCATCCTGAACCTTAGCGTCATGTTCAACGAGTGTATCTCGACCTCGCAGGATTTCCCGTTCTTCGCCTCCCGTACGGAAAACTCCGTCACCGAGTCGTTACACCCGTCGTCCCGCCCGCTATAACTGCAGTTGTAATAAAAATATAAATGACCGTTCCTGTCTCCGTTCGCCTTGATGCGAAAGTTCGATGGGCTATCATCATAGCCGAGCTTCCTACTCAACCACCTCCCGTCCACGTTATGTACGTCACACTTGCTTTTCCTGCCGGGCCTCGTTGTCGTTGAATGAATCGTTGAGTAGGCCGTTGAGTAGGTCGTTGAGTATGTCGTTGAGTCCGAGTCGATCTCCGTCGTTGATGATGTGTCTTCGTTTACGATTATTCCGCCGCAAACGTAGGAGAGGAGATGACACAGGATGATTAAGATAAGTGCTTTTTCCGATGCGGCGGTTTTCTGTCTTAAAGTGTGGTGTTTGAAACAGTTCTCGACGCTCGTAACAACGTAGGGCGTCGTTAGTTTCTCGGAGGAGTGAAGGGGGCGCCTCTGTCGCGTTTCGTTGGATAAATCCGTGGATCTTCCCAGTTGCATGGTTGATTTTATCACGATCTTTCAGCAGCAAAAATTCAGCGAACCGTCCAGGTGAACTTTTTCTCTTGGAGAGAAAACTTCTGTCTCGGCTTGATTTTGTGCTGTTTTTGGGAGTAGTTAGCTTTATTGATATATTTTTGATTTGGTTGTCTTCTCGCTTAGATTATCCTCGTCACGTTAAGCACTTGACTTCCTGATTTTTTGTGATCAGGCGACACCGTGCCTCGGTAGAGATCTACAAAAAAAAAAAAAAAAAAAAAAAAATTAAATAATATTCGATTAGTGCCTCGCAAAAACTCAAGTAGTATTTTGCAACAAAAATATTCGTATGAATTCGCAATTAGTGCTAAAATTTCAATTGTCGTAATATGGAATTGAAATAATATCACATCACTTAGCCAATTAATTCCGATTTCAAAGGACCTATAAAATGAATTTCATACGCAGCAAAATAGAAAATGTGTAATGCAAAGAAAACTCGCAACTCAGATTAATGTAATTTTTTATCACAATGAATTTCAACAAAAGGTCCCCTTCAATTAGCAGATAGGCAACATACACAACCCTTCGATGGAGTAACAAGTTATACCAGAGTAATTTCAATTTACGTGAACCTGTGATGCAAGGGAAGTAGATTAAATGATTTAATAATATTCTCATCCTCCTTTTGGTGTGCCTGAATGAAAAAGCTTGAATTGATCAATGGTCAGGTGGTATGACATGGTAAAGTTATATTCTTTTCTAAGACAGAAGTAAAAATAAACCTAGAATTTTTGACATCCGAGATGCTAAAGCAGCATACTATTTTTTTCTTTGCGGGCCAGGAAAAATCGGAAACGCGACGCAGGGGGCGCGAATAATTTTCCCGAACTACATTTTTCGCGACGCGCCGGCAGGTATACCACGCCCCTCCCGAAAGGGCCAGCCGTCCACCCACGATTTTGATGTGAATTCATCTCTGTACATTAAGAATATAAAATATCTCCATGCATTACCTAAATGCATATGAAATAATAATACAAAAATTGCTGTCCTAAAAATTCAGCTCCGGAGATTGGTCCATTTTCCTGCGAACGATCCCATTTGCTCTGAACACGAGTACACTCGTTCTTCACTTAATTACCTCCCTTTCCTATGATTTAAGGAGTCATTCGAGATAAAAAGAATCTTTTAAGATATCGGATGGACTTAATTCGATGGGCCATGACTAATAGGAGTGTATTAACTACCCCCCCTTCCCAGAGGCGGATCCAGCAATTTGGCAACACTGAATTTCTCCATTTAAACCTACGCTAAATAATCGATTCTCGTTGGAGCACTTGGCCCCTCCAAGAATCGATACATTTCCATAGATTAAAATGGAGGAAATCCGGTGTTGCCATATTGCTGGATCCGCCAATGCCCCTTCTCCACGCCACTCTTCCGCGTGCTATTTCCAGACTTCGAGTGTCCGGTCATAACTCCTCTTTTGCATTCACGCGGCATGACACCTCCAAAACAAACACGCATAACGTGATGCCAATTTTAATTCCGCAACTAAGCAAGCGCATCTGTATAGTGTGAACGCATAATTGCGCATTTGCAATCCGGACTGTTGCAGTATTTCGCTCTTAAGAGGGAAGAGAGTATGGTATGGATCTTACAGAAATTTTGCAGAGAGGAAAATAATACTGAAAATGATTATTCCTTGTAGTATAGTAGGTATGGTATACACCAGATAGCGTTGCCACTAAATGCAAATTGTGTTTTTGAAAAAAAATTGAATTAAAATTCGAGATCCTGAGCCTGGGTGTCGACATGGGTAGAACCGGTATGGAACCAGGGAGTCCTAGTACCTCCCAAAAAATAAGGCAGATTTTTCTGGATATAGTATGTGACATATTTCTCACCTTAGGAATAATTTATTTTATCTTATTTATAGTACTTATTCTAACTAGCATATAATTTAATCAGACTTCTCTGTTGTCGTATCACTCCAGTTATTTTACCTTAAAGGCAATGGTTGTAATTTTGCACTGGAAGTTACACATAAATTATACAAAAAAAAGAGAAAGAATTTCAATTCAATCAATTTTATCGGTAGAAACGGCTGAAAATAGTTCTTGAGAAAACTCAATTTTTCAGCTTATAGCGGAGGGGGGACTATGGGCCCTCCTTGTAAGCCCGGGAAATCCTCTGAACCCCCTTTTGGAGCTAGAAGAGCCCCACAAACCCTCCTCAACGATATTTTTAGAGATCTCTAGACCTCCATGGACAAGGTGCTCTGCTGCCCTCCCGTTCTTACTTCCACCCGTAGCTATCTTTACTCTGACTCTCATCGGATGCTCAGGAAGGTGAAAATTCGTTCCTAAGCTATGTAATTTAATTCAGGCGAGCACATTAATGCCAATTTGGTCATTCAGTTTCACTGCGCATACCATCTCTTTGCAAGTATGAAGGTCAGCAGGCTTTGAATGTCATGACTTAAGGGGGTTGGATTAAATTAGTTGCGCAGATGAGGACGATCGGTGGGTGAGGATGGGGTTATCTTCAGAAAGAAAAACATTATTTAATACGCACGTGAGGATTCAACACTAGTGTAACACTGAGCCCTCAGATACATAAAATGGTGTTATTCTCACTAGCTTAGTGCAATTAAGTCGCAACAATTAAAGCATGCATTTCCCATTGACTAACCTTCCTCGCATGTCTTACGCGTAGTGACAGAAATACGCATATTCTAACTTTTACTACTGACATTACCTTAAAACATTGCGCACTCCCTTATAATCAGCTTAACTCAAAAGTATCAGAATTCACAATTTAAAATTAAGTTTTTCCAAGCAGATAATTTTACTTTAAAGTCATAAACATAGCCAGTTTGAGTTAGAACTTCCTCTAAACATACATATTCCCTATTTCTCTCTTTCTCTCCTTCTCTCTCCCTCCTCTGATCCCGTGTTATAATTGGATTGCACATATGAGAAAGGGACTTGCACTCGATTTTATATGAGCGGCTTGGAGGACAAGGCCCATAAGTGCAATTTTGCTATTTCGAGAAAGACATGTTTAAAGTTTAGAAATTACATGGATCTTTATGGTGGAATAAGAGTTCAAACTGACTTTTTGATACTTAAAGATTAGAATTTTTGAGCGAATTTTTCACAGAATATGCACAAAGACTAGTTTTACATGAAATCGGCAATTACTCAATATTTTCAAAAATTACACTTATGCGCCATGTCCTCCAAGCGCTCCATATAGGATTGTATGAATCTGAGTCTTCAACTTAATTAAACAAAATGCCAGCAAGTTGCACTGGTTCCAGAATTGGGCTACGATGCTTGATTCTTGTAGATCAGCTGCAAATAATCAGATTCCTCTAAAGAACAACTTTTCACGTTGGATATTAATCAAGATATTGCGCTTTGAAAAAGTCTGTTTATGACGTCATCCACCGCCGTAGTGACATTCTTGGTTCCTTCCACATTGGTTTCATTCGTGTTTAAAGTCGAGCAACCAGTGCATTTGTGTGTAATACTGATCGATGAAAGAAATGTGGAAGAATCCAAGGGTGTCACCACCGTTGTGGATGACATCATAAACCCAATTTTTCAAAGCACAATATCTTGGTTAATATTGAATGTAGAGTGTTGCTATTAGAACAAATCTGATTATTTATAGCTGATTTGCACGAATCAATCATCAAAACATGGTTCTGTAACCACCGGAACTTACTAATAGTATTTGGTTCTCTACCAAAAAAGTAATAATTTTAAAGAGAAACGATCTTGTGTATGTCATTACCGCAAATTATTTTTTTTCACGACTAAGAGGAAGTTGCACGATTTTGAAAACAATATATCCGTGTCGGGTTTTTTCTACTAAGTGCAAACCGCTTACAGTTAAATTATCTAAAAAAAAATCTTACCAAATCGAAAAAAAATCCAATCCTAAAAGTGGAGATAGATTCTAAAACAAACACTCATCGATGAATATACCACGCGTGGCAACCAGCACGAGGCTGTTTGTGAAACTGGCGTGCCCACCGATTTTCGGCACTAACCACGGAGGTTTATTGTGATGGAGAAATGATGAACTTAAAACCATCCTGCACGTACGGTTAGGTCGTTAGCTTCCGCACATGTACGAATTAATTATTATTTTGGAGGCGACATCACAGAGTCCCCAAACAAACGACAAGCCTCAGTTCGTTATAAGGTCTCCTACACCGCAGTGCCAATGAAGAACGCCGAATGAACCTTCAAGAGTTGCCAAATTTTCTCAGATAAAACATTTTTTTTTTGGGGGGGGGGGAGTTATGTATATTTTTCCTTGAAATGGATCACTAAACAAGGTACGAATTTACGGATTCTAATACATGTTTCGTAACCAAAATTTCACGTAAAACACGATGCACACAACGAAAATTACCGAAATCAACTCCTTACAAAGATATTTAATGATTCTTGATGCGTGAATTCAAACCACCCGCTCGTGAAAACTCAACGATTCACATCGCGCGCTAAACGTTATCATGACAGTCTACGATATACAAATCTGGCAACCTCAATCTTGACACTTTGGCTCAGCTATAGCGAATTGCTTATAGTTTGAACAACACATGGTGGGAAATGAACATTGATCAATTGAGAAGCTTGCTGAAACCGTTGTAGTGTGCGATTTGACTTACGTAGAGCTTTCAGTTTCTTGTCAGCGGGCAGTTCAAATTCCTCGTAACCAATGTGTAATAAAAACGTTGATATCTTCGTTAGGAGTTGGTTTAAGTAATTTTCGTCGTGCGAATTGTGCTCTACGTGAAATTCTGACTAGAAAACATGTGTCAGAATGCTTAAATTCGTACCTTGTCTAGTGGTCCATTGTCAGATATTCTAGTTTAAATTTCAAAAAATATTGTCAAAATAATTCGAAGGAGACCATTTAAAATTTTTTCAGTAAATTCGTATTTTATTGAAGAAAATTTGGCAATGTCTGAAAGCTCATACGCTGTTTTTCCTTTTCGCGGTAGTATAACTGAGTGGATCGAAAGAAGTACTTGCGACGTTTGCATGTTCATGATTTATAAAATGACCATTTAAATCTAATTTTGTGGGTAACTTATGCAAATAATGAAAGCCGTCTTGAAATTATTCGATGCGAATTTTTGGATCCATGTGAAAAACATATTATTATCGCCTGGATGCTTCGTTATTTTTATGAAAGTTTTGGTAGACCTATTAAGGCGGTAACTTATTTTTATTCGAAAAGTTTGATGTCCGGGCGTTTTACTTGGTGTTGAATTTACATTCAAGAGGATGGAGTCCCTGGAAAGTTTGTGCAGGATTGAAAGGGCGAGGAAAAAATAAACAACGTTTCAATTCAGATGTGTCAATGTGTAATCTAATATTTGTAAAAAAATCACGAAATTGTAATCCAAAGAAGTATTGCTGGCTAATTTCCCCAAAAATGATTTGATGCTTTTTTTGATATTGAATATTTCCATAAATGAAAGTTTGTGCAGGATTGAAAGGGCGAGGAAAAAATAAACATTTAAATTCAGATGTGCCAATGTGTAATCTAATATATGTAAGAGGAATATAAAAAAATCATGAAATTGTAATCCAAAGAAGTATTGCCGGCTAATTTCCCCAAAAATGATTTGATGCTTTTTCTGATAATGAAGATTTCCATTAATGAAATAACTCCTCCGATGAATCATGCGCGGCGTACATTCTCGATATTTTCTTTCAATACCCACAAAAAGAGACTGAAACGCTCAACATTTTAGAGGCAACTATTTTAACGTCTAAGCAATGCTAATTGCATACTTGAAAAATGAAGGAGTTTTCAAGTTCATCATGTTTTCATTCCACCCGACTGCTATTTATGTGGTTCACTAATTTTTGGCAACCCTACATTAATTTATTTCAGATTATATTTTGCAATTAGGAACTAAAACTGGCTCATACGTAAGAACAACTATATCTCAAGGGAGACTGATGGAACATATGTTGTTCCCACGCTGAGTCAGAAATTTTAGTTCCAAATTGAAACAAGCGGGAAAGTTCTAATACTGTCGTATTAGAAAAGCGCTCAGGTGTTAGTAAATGTATTTAATGAAGAAATGACGTATAAACTCCGTCGACTTGGCTGGGAAATGGAAATAAAACATCAGCTGATAGCAAACAAAGGTTACCCAGGAAACTGCATGTAAACGCGTATTTTTGTTTCCCGAAAATGAGCTCACCGTTGAGCTCATCGGGCGCGTTTTTTTTAGGCTTCATTTGAGTTCAACGATCAATTTCGATAAGAATTACTCTACCGCTAAGAAATTTTCTTATAGACAAACGATCGAAACTACCTGCGCATTACGTTAAAAGCATAACATACAGTTTTCACAGCTTTATTTATTTTAAAAATGGACCCCCCCCCCCCAAAGCCTACACATCGATGAGCTGGTGCGCCATTTAAACGAATTAGCACTAGTACACTAGTACTCAGAGGCAAGTCGAAATCAAAAAGCGCTGCCTATCGGCTGAGCGCTTAAAATGCAGTATTTTTTTTATCAATGTTCAGATTGGTTAATTAGATAGCCTTTATCATCTTTAGGATTCGACCAACCGGTTCCATTCATCCATTCTGGATTTTTTTAAATAGTATTTTACAAAGATTTTTGTATGTTTGTTTTTAGCTTTCATTATGCGTTCCGGAAATGATATCATGGCTGATGCTGGCCTTTTGCGAAGGAGCCATCCTTCTATGTTTGGCGCGGTTCCTGAGTGGACTGTGTTTAGGATTCATCTGCGTCACGACCCCGCTATACATAGCCGAGATCGCCCAACCCTGCGTCCGAGGAGCCCTCGCTACCTTCTTTCAACTCTTCATCGTCATCGGTATCCTTTTTACGTTTATATTGGGTGAGTACCTACAAGATTTTAACTTTCACCCCCTTAATATCCTAATATATAATTTGAAAAATAGAATGAAATTGTGAATTAACCTCTGTAAACGGAAAGAAGAAGGAACAGGAACAAGAAGAAGAAAAAGAAGAAAAAGCGGAAGAACTGGATGAAGATAAAGAGGGAGCAGAAAATGAAGGAGAAAAAGAGGGAGCAGAAAATGAAGAAGAAAAAGAAAAAAAAAGGAGAAAAGAAAAAAGGAGGAACGAAAAAGAGAAGAGTTGAAGGAAAAATTGGAAAAAAGCAGGGCAGAAATCGAAAAAGAAGAGGCAACAATTGAAAGGAAAACAGAGTAAAGTATTTAGAAGATAAAAAAACCGATACTTAAAACTTAGTTTAAAAACAAAGGTAAAAGCTTAAAAAGAAGTTTGTATAAAGGTTTAAAAAAAATTTTAATTTAAAGTTTACAAAATAAACTTACAATTTTTGAAAAAAACTGTTATATTTATTACTTCAAAGAAAAAATTAGGACCAATTTAAAGACAAACCAGAAAATTAAATGAAAATAAAAAAAAAAAAAAAAAAAAAAAAAAAAAAAAAAAGACATTTGAAAGGGAAAGGTGTACATGAAAAATAAGAAGCAGCCCCATAAGCCCCTAGTTTTAGAAGTGTAACGTGCAAATCAGGGATTGGTCATGTAGACGTTTATCATTAGCGTTTCAATACGCGTCTGATACGCAGTTTGATCGAAAAAATATCAACCTACAAACGGGGTGGGGTCAGTATTGGGATGAAAACTGGGTCTTGAGGGAACTTTTTTTTTTTTTTGGATCGAAAAGAAGAGTTTTTTTGCGTTTTTCTTGCAAAATGACGACTACAGTATAAACAACGGAAATCGAAAAGGTCAGCGTGCATGAAGGCTATTTCAATTGTAATCTTCCGTCGCATTTCTAAGGCGCAATGATACAACTATTCGAACTCTCCGGAATGCGTGAGGTATCACGCCGCATTTGAAGGCGTTTTCAAAACAGCCAAGTTCCGATACCCGGATCATCGTTTTGCATAGCTCATATTATTTTGTTTGTGGTTAGAAATGGAAGCGTGCATGAAGGCCATTTCAATTGCAATCTTCCGTCGCATTTGTAAGGCGCAATGATACAACTATTTGAACTCTACGGAATGCGCGAGGTATCACGCCGCATTTGAAGGCGTTTTCAAAACAGCCAAGTTCCGATACCCGGATTATCGTTTTGCAAAGTTCATATTCTTTTGTAAGATTCCGTGCCACTTGTTTATTTTTAATCCTCGTAGAAAAACCACCCATTTGTAAATACAATTCTAGCTGAAGCGCAATTTAGCTATGCATTCACCACTGCAAAAATTTCAGAGGGAATCGACAAGCCCAGCGTGCATGAGGGTAGGCCCGCGACAAGGGGGGGATACTGGGTCCCTGGTACCGGGAGTAAAAAACCACTACGAATTCATATGCAACCCTTGTTTCGTAAGAAAAAGTGGAAAATTTACCCTAAAAATTTCGCAAAAGGTGACTAGATTCTCAGAAATACGCTGGCGCTGGGGCACTGTAGAATTCCTCTTAAATTTTCAAAGAAGTATACTTCTTGGAAAATTTCTATCTATTTTTAAGATTTTCAGTACAGAGGGATAGTTTTGGTAACTGCGTTTCATTTTCTTCCGTCATCAGATGCTAAGAGTCTCCAGTCTGGGCATCCTTGACTTCAATGGCTCATTGCTCAACTCCCTTGCCATACACAAACGAAGGGGGAGTCCAGGGGAGCCTGGCCCTCTTAGAACTGAAAAAAGTATCATAACCCCCCCCTCCCCCCCCAAAAAAAAAATTAAAAATGTTCCAGATGTTTTGAGTATTTTGTGCTGAAAGTATAAAAAAATAATAAAAAAAAAAATTATAATTATTCCGCAGAAATTGATGGAAAAATTATTTATGGAAGCTTCAAAATGCGTCCGATTAGTCGTATAAATTCTAAAATTTCTCGGGGGATGCCCCTCGGACCCCCCCCCCCTGTGCTTGGGGCCCGGACCTTAAAACTGGTACCAGGGCCCGAGATGGGATGTGGCGGGCCTGACTGGAGTTATGTTTTTTCGTCCGGAAAACGACGAAATATGGAGTATTTCACAGCATCGTGAAACATGAAATATCTCACTGAAATTTCCAGTCTTTCATTCCTCTCCTACTTTCATGTCACCCTGCCCAGCGCGCAGCATGGCGAAAAATCCACTTACCATCTCCCTCGGTTTACAGGTATCCTTCAGGACGCCCTATGGATAACCCTGGGCTGTTCCATCGTCGTACTAGTATTCTTCGCGCTGTTCCTCTGGATGCCGGAGTCCCCGGTGTACCTGACGATGGTCTCCCGACCCAAGGCGGCGGCAGCATCTCTGCAGTGGCTCCGTGGGCGGGACTACGACATCTACGCCGAGATCCGGGTCATCGAAGCCGTCGTCCAAGAGGGCCGCGACGTGGAGGTCACCTACGGCGACTTCATCTCCGACGCCGCCTCCTTCCGCGGCATCATCATCGCCATGGGCCTCTTCTTCTTCCAGCAGATGTGCGGCATCAACGTTGTTATATTCTACATGAACACCGTGTTTGAGACGGCCGGGAGCACCATCTCGCCGACGCTGGCCACCGTCATCATCGGAATCGTCCAGGTAGGATTTTGTTTTGAGAATGAAGTTTACGGGAAATTGTTTCGTGGGCGTGCATTGAGTGGTAGACCAGGGAGCATAATTTTGATATTGGGAGGTACCAGCCCTTTCTAGATCCGATTCGTATCTACGCTGTTAAAATTTGGAGTGTAATTCTGTGCCGGAGTTTATATGGACCGCGTTCAGTAGAAAGGAACCAAGCTACATCAGCTATTGCCAAATTTAACTGGAAACTTTAATTTTTTACGAGAGAACGTTGGTGTGGATTCCTTGAAAAATGATAAAGAATTTGCTTTGTACTGTGCAGAAAATTTACTAAAATTTGCAAACAAATCCGCACAACCGTTTTCATATGAAAAATTAAAGTGCCCAATCAAATTTGGTAGTACTTGATGTGGCCTGCTTCCTTTCTGAAAAAAAAAACCGGTCATGCGAACTGAAAATTCAGCGTTCGGTGCCTTCTTTTAATTTTAATGTTATGTCAATGTACTTATGTTATTACTTTTTTTTTTTTCTTTCTTCCTTTTGTTATTATCAGTTGAATTTAATTTTATGGCTGATCCGGCAGAATAATTGGGTAGCCCAATTTGACGGGCAGCTTAATGTTTTTTTTTTATTTTATTTTATGTTTTTCCTTTTTTAATAAATAGCTTATCTATCTACCTATCGATTCATATCATCTCAAATATTCGATTTGTCAAACTATATTTCCAGTTCGTATAACCGAACGTTCCATTTATATGACTGAATTTTGTTCGTCAGTTCACTTTGCCGTACAAGTTCAGTTAGACGAACCGAAAGTTTGGTTTGACAAACCAAAAATTCAGTCAGACAAACCGAATTAGTTGGGATCACTAAACAGACGACCGAACTTTTAATTCAATGTGCTTAAAGCGGTCCATTTAAGGAAGGAGTTTGAATACGACACTTAATAATTCCAATGCATTGATTCGACAGGTGCTAGCCACGGCTCTGTCGGTCTACATGATGGACAAGGCCGGTCGGCGGTTCCTGTTCATCTTCTCCCAAGCGGCCTGCTCGCTGTGTCTCATCTCTCTGGGCACGTACTTCTTCCTCAAGTCGCGGGGCGACGACGTGACGCCAATCGGCTGGCTACCGGTTGCATCCGTTGCCGTCTTCCTCGTCATGTTCGCCTTCGGCTCCGGCCCCGTCCCTTGGGCCATCACCAGCGAGATCTTCAGCAAGAACATCGCCTCCCTCGCCCTGTCCCTCGTTACGGCCGTCCATTGGTTGCTCGCCTTCTTCGTCACAAAGGTAATCCCGTTTTCACATACTTATATGCCGCAATCACGCGCTGAATGTGGAGGTCATCGGAGCGATGCCTGAATTTTGCGCAAAATTCAGCAACGATTCTCAGCAGCCATCGGACTAATGTTGGATTTGTCTGAGCTATTCGAGTAGATTTGACACACATCTGGATGAAAATAACTCGAATTTTCGAAATTTCAGCCGTTGGGCGATGACTGTTGACTTCCACATTTAACTGCTATATTCAGCAGCAAAATAATAACAATTCGGGATTTGCCGTGGGCATGTCACGAGAGCGTCGTTAACAAGGTTCATGAGCTAAAGTGCACCAACACCGATCACCTCGTCGTTGCACATCTGAGTCATCACCGCTGACGTCACTGGCATTCATTTTTACGGCCCTTAACTAACGAGCAGCCTCCTTATTCCCCACCTGTCTCTGATTTCTTTTAAAATACTTATAAATACTAAATAAATACTTCCAAATATGTGACAAAGAGCATTCAATTGGGTCAGGCAGTCAACCGTCTTAGGTTTCGAAAGTCTCAAGATAACATTTTTGGCAATTTCTGCCATTTTGGATTTTTGAATTTTAAAAATTTGAGTTGAGATTCAAGTTCCTCGTGAAAAAATACTCCCTGATACCATGACGGTAACAGTCAAGTTTCAAACGTTAGTGCGCCTTCAATTACATTTGATACCGTGCAATACTTTCGTGGTGGAATAGTTGCATTGGCGCCTACAAACCTAACAGGGATACTGCGTGCATTGCGCAATGAGTGAAGTATCCCTGTTAGGTTTGTAGGCGCCAATGCAACTATTCCACCCCGAAAGTATTGCACAGTATCCAATATAATTGAAGGCGTATTAACTTATGAAAATTGACTGTTACCGTCAACCACTGTTTGCCAAGTGGTAACTTCACGCCGACTGAAACATTTTACAGGGTCCAAATTTTCAAAAAAGATACTCATGGTATATTCACCGTTTTTTAGCGCACTTTTCGATGGCTCCTGTGTTTTTTTTTTTTAGGTCTAGAGAGATGATATTGAAATAAGTCGAAATTCACGATTTTGCTCAGAAAAATGGCAACGTCGCAGCGTGTCAAAATTATCAGAAGGGGAGCATTGGGAGCATCTAAGATACTAATTTCACACTCTGATTACAATTTAGGCATCTGTAACGTTAATTTATCGAGAGGGAAAAATCCTCAAAAACAGTAAAAAATTCGTTATTTTCATGCCCGAAATTTTCGCGTCGGGTCAAAAGCATGGAGGGGGTCCAAAACTTCACTAGGGTGTAGTTTATGAACTAATTTTGCCCTCTGTTTAATTTGCAGACGCCTCCGGCTTTATTTTTTGGGGAGCGAAAAATTACTGAAAAACGTAATTACGTAAAAATTCGCTATTTCTGCTTGGATAAATGGCAACTGCGCGTCGGGTTAATTTTGTCCGATTGACTCCAAATTTCATTTTCCGAGTTTTTGAACATGCTGTAACAGATTTAGAGGGTTACGGCCATAAATTTCCGAAATTCATTTTTTGTGGGCCACCCTAAATTCATACGTATTGCAAATGACAGATATTAATTCCAGCATTTTCGGCAACATAAAGATAATCGCATGAAAATCCACCTAAAACGTCTGGTGCTATCACCTCTTGACAATTTTAACCCCTTGACAAAACAAAACTGTGAGGCCGTTTTTGGGTATTGCATTTTCCTTCTTGTGAATTTTCTCAGACCGATTTATATTTTTAACTTTGGTTTTGAACTTCAACGATTTCTAGGCGCATAAGTGCAGTTTTTGAAAAAAAAAAGATATTAACGATTCCAAGTAAAACCAGTCTTAATGCAAATTTTGTGAAACTTCGCTCCAAACTCCAATTTTTAAGTATCAAAATGTCAGTTTGAGCTTTTTTTCCGCCAACCGGATCCATGTGATTTCGAAAGTTCAAACAAGTATCTCTCGAAATACCAAAAACTGCACTTAGGCGCCCTCTCCTCAAAGCCTCTCATTTCATTCTTCATTTTTTGTGGAGTCTGTGATCTCTGCATCATTCTTTACATGCTTGTCGTAGCACAGCGTTTCATCACTATCTTCCTTCCGCAGGTTTACACTTCTTTGGAGGCGTTCATGGGAACCGGTCCTACGTTCTGGATGTTCGCGGCCTGGTGTTGGGTGGGAGTAACATTCTGTTGTCTCCTCATGCCTGAAACCAAGGGTCGACCTCAAGAGGATATTGTGGACGAGCTGAGAGGCTGTAAGAAAAAGCAAACCTCTGGCAATTGTCCGTAAGGGTCTTTTACGGTGCTTACACTATCCCCCGGTCATCTTTAAGACGTGACTTAACAACTGAAATATTTTAATACTGTGTTTTTTGTCTCGTTTTTTACGTACCTCAAAGGCACACATTTTTTTCTCTTGAAAAATATACCGTACTGCTCATAGAATGTATATACACAAGCACGTAATGTGCAGATGGATTGCACTAGATCGTTAGGTTGAGAAATGCCATGAACGACCATCTCGTTGTTTCCCTCGCGAACAACGGAACTTCATCTCAATGTTGCAAGTTTTCTTTTGCACAGTGTATTTTACATACGAGAATCTTGGGCATTCCTGACTGAAAATTTCACTGATTTCCCCTCAGATTTCAGGCGAAAATTAGAAAGATTTTGGATGCGCATTGCACATGTGCACTGTTATTAAATAAATTAATTTTTTCAGTCAATTTGGCAAACTTGGAATGGAGTTACGTTCTTTTGTCGGAGAGACGACAAACAGTCGAGCAATCAGGTGACTGAGAGATCAAAAACTTGGAGGAAAAGATTGATTTCTGTAGCATATTATATTATGCAAAGGAACATTTCTTGACACGAGATTATAAGATTTGAATGAACTTTTGGCTGAATATTTAATCATAAGTAAAAAAGACAACCTCTAGCTCGGAATATCGCTGTACTTTACATTACTATACACATTGTACAACCACAGTGCTTATTAAATAATTTTACATACAAAACCCTTAATTTGATGTTACACTTCGCAATAAAAAATAAAACATCACCGAAAAGATCATTTGAGATCTTTGATAACTCACCCGTCGTTGAATGATCTACCACCAAGTTTCTTTCTAGAATCGTCGCAAAGTCTGTCTGCTGATGAATTGTTTTGCTTTTTGCGGGGCCTTACATTATTTTGTTTGCTTCCTTCTTTTTTTAATTATTTCACGGGATAACACTGTGCTATAGTACTCTCAGGTATAATCACTCTTTACATTTTGTCAATTACGCATGTTCAAAATGTTCGAGCTTTTAAACTCCTTTCAAAAAATCTAAATTTAGTACCTCACTCTTATGTGACCGATGTTAAGTCAATTGTGAATTGTCATGTTCTAGTGCCGCGTAATACATTCCAGGTTTTAGTAATTTGAAAATCAAAGTTTTATCCAGTTTTTTCCTTACACTTTTGTTCAGTTACTAGGTTCGTAAGAATGTAAACGGTTTGATTCATTGTCTTTTACGATTTTCTGTAGACAATTTGTTTCTTTCCAGAATAAATTATTACATTTTTTTCTACATCCCGGTTCGTCCTATGTCCAAACCATTATTATTTTCTTTCGGTCCTACGAGCCCATTGTTGAAATCGATAGACAAAGCAAAAGACAAAGAAGATACAGGACAGCGGACTGGTTATTGAAATTGATAGACAAAGCTATAGACAAAGATGACATAGGGATATGGAGCAATCTTATAGGTTGAAACAGGTGGTTCTTACAGACTAAGGGGGAAAATTATGGACTAACTGTCGGGTCTCTTGTCGGTTACCATTAGTTAGTTTATTACTTACCTCATTGTCTATTGCAACCACCCGCTTCCACCATATCCTTTTTGTCTTCATTGTCTATAGCTTTGTCTATCAATTTCAATAATCGGCCCGCAGGGAGTGACAGGAAATGATGGACTAACTATAGAGTATCCGGTGGGTTCCTGTTAGTCAGTCAATTGTCTACCTCCATTGTCCATTGCATCCCCCCCCTTCCACCAATAGGATCGCTTTATTTTCCCCCCCCCCCTGCTTACACCAATATTAGGATCCCCCCATAAAATGTTGTCTTCTTTGTCTATCACTTTGTCTACTACTTTCAACAATCACCTCGCTGGTGACGATGCAAACTGGGACGGTATTGTTACCGCAACCAAAATAATCGTCAACACAGACGTAAAGTTGTAACTTTAACCATGGAAAGAAGATAGAACCTGGAGTTAGCAATGAGCAGAGCGTTGCGGACTGCGTTAAGCAGAAAGGAACTAAGCCACATCAGCTATTGCCAAATTTAACTGAGCAATTTAATTTTTCACATTAATACGGTTGTGCGGATTTTTGTGCAATTTTCAGCGAGTTTTCTGCTTAATACGAAGTAAATTCTTTAAATTTTTCAAAGGAACCAACACAAACGTTCTCTTGTGAAAAATTAAACTGCCAAGTTAAATTTTGCAAAGGCTTTCTAAGAGCAAGATTTGTTTCTCCACATATGGGTGAAAAAATTTTACCCTTGAGCAGTCACAAACGTAAAGATAGCTTCTTTTTTAGAGATAAGATGATCAGAAGGAGCAAACTTAAGGACCTAAGTACAAATTTTTAAAGTTCTCGCCCAGGGCTTAACTTGTCAATTCTGAGTGCTGTTCAACGATCGCAAAATCTGCCATCATGTGGAGTGCCACTCACAGTAGACACATCGCTTGAAAATGTTTCTCTCGAGTCACTATTGTTATAGTAAATTGATCAATTGGTAGCTATCAAACGCAACGTCAAGCTTTTGAAGAAAATCTGAAGTCACTTTACTGAGTCATGATGGATTGAGATTCCTATTCATTTGTGCTCAAGCTCCCAGTATTTCACGAGCAAAATTAGTTTCTAGTTTTTGTGGTTTATAACTGAATTTAGATTTCTTGTCCTCCGCTTCATTCCGATTAACTTCTTGTGAGACGTTCTAACCTGTGGCTCTGCTTAATGTGAGACTTTTTGTATAAACATCATAACATTTCTTTCCTAACTACGCATTATTTTTCATAATTTAATCATTGATGCTCATCGAATGTAAGCCTTAAAGATAATGTTGATAATATGTACTTATCCCGTTTGCTTAGCAAAGTCTAATTCTTTATTACTCAAATGCCGGACGCTTAGTGAACATCAAATGGCACCTTTTCTAATTTTAAAAGAAGTTTAGTACGTTGTCAGTGATCTGTGAGATTGGAACTTTGTATCTAAAAATTAATACAATTTAAAAAAAGAAAAAGCAATATTCATCTCATATCTTAACTTCTTTGATATTGTATGGAGCATGAAAAATGTTCGATAAAAATTGTTTGAACTTTTAACAACGACCTTGTCACGTGATTTTATGCAAAATTTCGAGGTGCCAATTGTGTTAAAAAATATAAACGACAAATTCCGAGGAGCTTCGAAATGCTTTAAACATTTTTCAGTGAACATAAATTAGAAATTCAGTTCATTTTTTTACATAAAGTATGGATACACCCACAATCGAGGCACAACCCGTGAGTGTCTTCACAAAATTACATTTTCAGAAGAGCGGAAGTAGTGTTTCAACATCAAAAGCAGATGGTATAGGTAAGTAACAATATTCTTACACTTGTATAGGTGAAAAGTAATTCATGGCTCAAAATTAAAAAATCAATGATGCATGAGTGTCAAAGATAGTTATGATAGATATGATAGTTTCTGTATATTTTTACGAGAAACAAAATAATGGAATATATATGTACTTATCAAATCACAGAAAATAACTGCAGTCAAGTATACATTGAATGTAAAATTTGGAAAGAAAAATGTGATTTATTTACCCAAAAGCACGGAAACTTAAGCGTCAATTCCTTTACGTGGATCTAATGAAACGTATTTCTGCCCAACGGGACTATTTGCATTAAGACATGAGCCCTGAGATCCATAACAATATTATGAATATCATGGCTCACGTCATAATACACATAGTTCAGTTTGGCAGAAATTCGTCCAATTAGCAGTTCTCGTGTTTATCCTCATTTTTTACGCACTAATATTTCAACTTTTGTCACAATGTATAGTCGGCTTCATTCTCACGTGACACTTCAAAACTATTTCGGAATGCGATCTCTTGCATGCTTGATTTCGTCATTTCAACGATGTGTGCATAATGCATGCATAAACGCCAGTAACTGGAGACATGAGAAAAGCCAATATTTACCTTCATTTTTGCGTGGTACCACACACCATACTCAGGAGTTTGAATAGTTGCACGTTTCATTTCCACATTTAACGATGCGCGGATGTTACATTCATACTGCCGAGCTATGGAAGAACGCCGTAAGAACATTCCAGAGTTGCTAAATATCCTTTGATGAAATTTATTTTTGAGGAAAATAATGAATATTTTTTCTTAAAATTTTCAGGAACTTTAGATCAAAGCACAAACAAAATTCTCAAAAAAAATATTAGGAAAATATTCATTAGTTTACCAGGGAATTCTCGTTTTATCAAAGAAGATTCTGCAACGCCTGAAGGTTCCTACGGCGTTTTCCTTAGCACAGCAGCATACACTTCCGAAATTATAGTAGGTTACACCTACGTCAGGTTACTAAGTCGCGCGTATTACCGAGTGAATGTATGATCTGTTTCAGCAGAGATTGAAGCTGCAAAACCTGAAGATAGTCCTCGAGAGGTTTTTACGTTAAAAGATGAGGAGGTGGACGAAAGCAAAGCAAAGACCGGGACTCAATATCTCGCAGCAGCAATTGGTTAGACTTTATTTTCATCACTTACCTAAATAAAAGGTAAAAGGGGAAATAGAAGGTTGCAGCTTATGGCTTGCTAAAAAATGGGGAAAAAAGAGTTACAGAACATAATGTCAAAACTGTTTCAGGTGAAACTTAAATGCTCATTTTGATACCCTTGCAGGAATTTTTTGCTTCCCAGGCCTACGGGAGTATTTTTTGTCGACTTTTTACTTCGCTTCGCACACAAAATGACTACTAAAAAGCTGAATCAGCGAGTCATTTTTTCGTTACATTTTGTGCATCCATCGGAAATGACAGTAAAATATTCCGAATTTTTAAACTAATAGTTTATAGAGTGAAAAATGGACGAAAAAATGTAACTGTAGATAAAAAAGAGGCCCTAGTAGCAAAAAATCTATCATAAAGACATGTTAAAAGGATTTATTTTCTACAAATATTTTGTAGAAAGAATTGCTGTGTGTGTCAATATTCTTCTGATCGCAATCAAATTGGTGTATCAAAGCGAGAGAATGATCGCATTGCTCATCTCACAAAGGGAAACAGTTACCTTCAGCGACGAGCCTTATTGCCCATTCAACTCCATCTTTTCCAGAGCTCACACTGAAAGAAAATTCTCGGCGTTTTTACCAAGGTCCGTTGGTACCTTTACCATCTCACTTTTTTTACAAATTATTGGTAATTTTACCAAAACAGACTGGTAAGCTTACCTAAAAACCGGTATTTTTACTATTTTTTAGGTAAGAATACCACTTTTGTTGGTAATCAATTCCTGGTAACTTTGCCATTTTATCTCGGTTATTCTACACAGTCGATAAAAAATATTGGCGTTTTTAAAAGGTCCAGTAAAATTACCGAGAAAGTTCAATAATTTTACTGGGATTTCTCGGTAAAATTACCAATTCTATAAATGGTAATTTTACCAAGAAAAAACTGGGATCAAATAGAACCCTGAATTCTTGGCAATTGTACCCTTTTCTTAGTAAATATACCGAGATTTTTTTTTCAGTATAGGAGAGAATTGAGCTCCTCTCTTTCGTCAGAGGATCAAACAGTTTACGCAATTTGGTAGTGGGTATCTGCCGCTAAGTTTATCAGATGCGTGATCCATCAATCACTTTGACAGAAGCATCGTATCTGAAGTGGACCGATAAACTTTGATAAGTACCAGCGCCACACTCGTGATGTCATTTTTGCGTTTAAGGACATATCTTATCGAACATTTTTACGAATTTTTCAATATGCAGTTGCTCTCATTTCCTCGTCCCGTATGAATAATACGCTGGCATCAGTTTTGTTGTCTTTGATGCCTTATGGCTATCCAGGCTAAGAAAACATTCGATTTCATTTGCTTTTATATTGCTGTCATGCGGACTCCCATCTTTTACCTCGACCCTTGAGTGTTAGTTGACGATTGAATTTCCATAAAAAATCAATCTACTCCCTTGGCACGCAAAAGCTCCATGGTATCTTTACCAAGAAACTATTGAACATATTCAACTTTAAAATTCACTGATTTTTTCATGTGAACTTAGTTCTGCTAAACGGAACTGGAGACGTATCGGAACTATTCGGTGTGCTCTCCCTGCCAAAAGTTACGAGTAAGGTATTCTATTCAGAATTCGCCAACACACATGAGTAGAACTTCCTACTTATATGAGTAGAAATCCTACTCATATCACTAGAATATTCTACTCATTAGAGTAAAAAAAAAGGTCAACTCATGTGAATTCAATTTTTTTCATTTTTCATTTTCTCCTGACCAGGAGACACCGACATACCGACATAGTATGTAAATTTGAAAAATAAAAACGTTTTGTCCTTACAGTTTTTTGAAGCGGTGACTAGTTTCTAAGATATCGGACACGGTAGATTCAACGCTGAACTCGTGTGAATTGAAATCTCCAGTTATATGTATTGGCAAAAACTGAATAGAGAAATTCTGCTCATATGAGTTAAATTCTATTCATATGACTTTGATTTTCTACTCATTTGTACTCACCATTTTTAGCAGATCTAGAAAGCTGCAGAAGAGACAATATGAAAAAAAACGTGATTCCTTTTGCGGAAATGGAAAAGTGGAATTTTCTATTCGATCAAACGGATCCAAGCGCCAACTGAATGTGGCACTCATGAGCCGTGGGCATATGACAAGAGCATTGTAAAAGGGCTCATGAGTTAAAGCCACGAAACCGACATCCTCGCCTTAGTCGTCGTCGCCGCTGACGTCACTGGTGCTTTATAATGCCCATTCATTCTTACAGCCCTCAACTAACGAGCACACTCCTTCTGCCCCATCCGCTTCTGGTTCCTTTTAGCAGAAATACGTCCATTTAATCACATGTATTAATCAGCCCTTGCAGCAGAAATGAACAAGTCATACACTTATAAAAAGTCACAAAATATAAAATTAAATAAAAAAAATTTATTTAAATAAAACTTATACATTCGTCACCATCCGGCCAAAGTATCACAAGCACCATGCGACGCTTTAAAATTGTAGCCGCCTTTTTATGTTTTTACAGAGACATTTTTCAATGAAGCTGACCGACAATTTCACTGAATTTCCTTTGTGCTGTCGACTAACTTCAGTGGAATTTTCAAACAGATTCAACCAACAATTTCACTGTAAAAATAAAATGGCGGCGAAAATTTTGAATCGTCGAATGGCGGTTGTGATACTTCGGCCGAAAGGTGGCAAATTGATCAAGTCACTTTTTGCAACTTTGGAAGGAAGTTACTTTCCTTCGCCTGTGGAAAGACGATTTGTAGTGAATTAATAAGAGCGTTGCTTATTTATACATATGTTTTTCCTCCTTTAGCGTCTTTGACAGGAGTAATGATGGGTCAGATGCTCTCGTGGTCATCTCCCGTGACACCCCTCCTCATTAAGGAGGGGAAGATCGATAAAATCGAAGAGTCATGGCTGGTCTCCATCCTGAATTTTGGCGCTGTGCTTGGCTGCACGGCCGCTGGCTCAGTCAACAGTTACGTCGGCAGAAAAAGTGTTTTAGTAGGTAAACGAAGTCGTTTCATATAATAACTCAAGCGTCAAAGATTGGCGAATCTGTATATGGTTTATAAAATCACGTCAAAAAAGGAGAAAAATTGCAGAAAACCGCGTAGAAATAATGTTTGAATGTCCATTCTCCCAAGCTTTTGATAACTTTTTTTCAGAAAATGAGGAAAAGTTTATAAAAAATTAGTGTATTTTGTAAATTTAATATCGAACACGCAGAAATTTTTGAAAATTTCCTTGACGTTAATGATTTTTTTAAACTTCATTAGAGGAAAAAGTGACTTGGCTCAAACAGAAATATGCTCAAATTTACCGCAGAGAAGATTTCCTTTGGAAACAATTAAGGAAATCATGATTGTTTAAAGAAGAAAAGATATTCATACATGAAGAAAAATTTCTTACGTCAAGCAGGAACCCACTTTCATTCAGCGATTTTATTCTTGGTTCAAAATAAAATCTTCGTGGTGGCATACTCAAGAATGTTTTTTGCCTAAATCAAGTAACTTTTTTCTGTAATGAAATTCAAAAATTATGCTGAAAGTTATCAAATACGGATGCAAGGACTTGGTGAGTTTTTGGACAACCGCTCTCTTTCTGTGCTGTAGTATCTTGCTTTATTTTGCGAGGAAAGCTCTGTATTCTTAAATTATGGCTGTCATTTAATATATTAGAGCCCCATCAATTTTGTATATACTGTTCAACACTTCTGTTGTAAAAAAGTTATTTGAAGCGCCGCGGCGGGCGAGGGCGGCCAGCACGACACGCACATTGGCGCCTACAAACCTAACAGTGATACTTCACGCATTGCGCAATGCGTGAAGTATCCCTGTCAGGTTTGTAGGCGCCAATGCGCGTGTCGCGCTGGCAGGACGCCACGGCGCGCCGCTCCGCTTGGTTTGGCTCTAATATTTTAACTCGCGGAGTTCAACTCATGATTTTGGCATTTTTGCACTCTCTGCATAGAATATTCTCATTTAATCTGATGAAAATAGTACGTATTAATAACATGTATTATAATAAACTACGGCTCATTGAGATTAACATCGATGTCATCGCTGAATATATGTATTTGAATGATTAAAGAACATTTAAAGGAGAATTTGAGAAAATAGATGGTTATCTTATTGAAAAAAAAGATAAAAAAAAAAAAAAACGAATGAAGAGTTAAACTGTTGACAGTAAACGTCGTTAATTACAATCCAGAAGGAATAGCGAAATGAACCTACCAGCGCCAAAATATCAACTTAGCAGGAGATGCAAGATGTTGATTTTCGATGTCTGGAAATCATACTTTGGTTTTACTTTTGGCACATAAGCTACTGGGCATGCAATAATTCTACTGAACATGCTTCCATCCTACCGTGCGAGAAAAAAAAAACGCCTTATAAACATTCGAATGTTGCCAAATTTTCCCTCGGAAAAAATTAAAGTTTTTAATATTTGTCCTTGAATTTTTCAAAGAATATAGATAAAATTACGAAGAACTTTCTCCGCCGAATCTAAAAAAAATATATTTACAAATTTTCTCAAAAATTCGTGTTACGACTACGGAAATTTGGCAANTACATATATACATACATATATACATACATATATATATACACATGAATTTGAATAGCATATATTTTCGTGATCTACGACCCGTGATCGGTGCTCTTCACAATGTCTCAGGTCTGGGTCCGACATCATGGGAGAATGCAATAGTGTATTTCCTTCGGAAAATACACTAAAAATATATTTACAAATTTTCTCAAAAATTCGTGTTACGACTACGGAAATTTGGCAACGTCTCATGGTTCGTGCGGCGTTCCTCCTTAGCACGGTGGCATAGAAATATACTCAAAAAAGATTTGAGACCTGATTTTTTTTTCATCCGCAGATGACCGCATGCTTGCCGCAAATGGCGTCCTGGTTGTTGCTGGCCCTTTGTAGTGACATCAGATTGCTTTGCCTCGGCCGATTTCTGGGCGGCCTTTGCGTTGGTTTCTTCTGCGTCACTTCGCCCCTTTATATTTCCGAAATCGCCCAAGTCTCCGTGCGGGGGGCACTGGGAGCCCTTTTCCAACTATCTGTCACCATTGGTATCCTTACGACTTACACGTTAGGTGAGTAATAAAACTTTTCTATTTGTGGAAGCCAGTGGCAAGGCGTGAATGATCGATTTATCGGTATTTTCCCATTTGAAACAGTAATACAAAATAGATTATTAAGCTGTTCATTTCGAACACCCTGTTGTTCATATAGAGTAAAGTCAGTTTAAAAAAAATGTAAAAAAAAGAAACCAAAATCGAGCACATTCTACGCATATAGTTCCTTTTGATACGCTCTATAAGTCGATCCTTTAATTGGACTGCGTTCAGTAGAAAGGAACCGAGCCACACCAGCTATTGCCAAATTTAACTGTGCAATTTAATTTTTACATGATAACGGTTGTGCAGATCTGTGTGTACAGTGAATTTTCTGCAAAGTGCGAAGCAAATTCCTTTATATTTTCAAAGCAATCCGCACAACATTCTCTTGTAAAAAAATAAATGGCCCAGGTAAACTTAGCAAAAGCTGGTGTAGCTTTGTTCCTTTCCGCTAAACGCGGTCCGATTGGACTACATTGTGGTTAACTACAATTTCTGGCTTTCACTGAAAAAAAAAGGATTGCTAATTCACCGATTCAGGGTGGAGCGAAATTTGCTTCACTTCGTAAAGCTTTCTTATCCGTGTACGGTGTTGAATCAAGTGAACGACTAGCACGAATTACTACACCCATTTGCTACATCTGCGCGCCTTCATGCAGTTAATCTTGCATCGAGTGGCTTGGAATTGTAACTGCATTTTTTGGTATTGGTACTTTGCGAACAGTAAAGTAGCTCAATGGTTAGGCTGAAATAGCGGAATTTACGGAAAAATAGCGAAATTTACGGAAGAATAACTAAAAAGGTAACAGACGTAGCTTTTCAGAGAGCAAAATCACCTACACGCGTGTGTGTAAGTTAGCTGAAATTTGTGTAGCGATTTTACCTGCATGGTTTGCACGTTCGTTTTTTCGCTACACCATGCCATGAAATACCCGCGTGCACGGCAATTTCAGCAATATTTTTTTTCAGTGTCCTGATTGCAAAATGCAGCCTAATTTATTATTCCGAGGACTTTTTCGACTATTTCGAATTGAACACCCCCCCCCCCCCCCAAGTTAGAAATCGTTTCCTAAACGTTCCGCTATCTCATTTCCGCCAGGCCTCCTCCCAACAGCAACATCAATAACCCTGGCCTCCTCCTCGACAGTGGTCCTCTTCTTCGCGCTCTTCTTCTGGATGCCGGAGACCCCGGTCTTCCTCCTGCGGACCTCCCAGTCCAACCGGGCGGCCGCCTCCTTGCGCTGGTTCCGCGGCCCCGCCTACAACCTCATCCCCGAGATGCGCCTCCTCGAGCGGATGGTCCAGAAGGCGGAGGCGGAGGAAATCAACTCCCAAGCTCAAAAAAAGCTCTCAAGTTGACGCCAAAATGGAAGGGATCTCCCACGCTATCCGGAGAGTCCACATCTACATCAAGACAAATTCTCCATGCAAAGATAGGGAGCAAATACATTGACAGGGCTTCCACTTTATTTCGGGACTCCAAAACTGAAGACACGGCAACCCTGCTAATGTATTTGCTCCCTGTTTTCGCATGGAGAGTTTGTCTTGATGTAGAGGTGGACTCTCAGGGTAGGGCGGGATATCCACTCCATTTTGACCTCACTTTGAGAGCTTTTTTGGCGCTTGGGAGTTGATTTCAGAGAAAACCAGTGGCACCATCGTGTTTCTCGCGAACTTATACGTAAGAATCAACAGTTAAATCGCAAATCCCTCACACATGCAACATCTCCATTTAAACATAGTCGAATAAGCCTGTGGCATAAATAAGAATTTAGCTGCATTTTGCAATCAGGAGCTACTACTTCTACCTCATCTATGAAAGCATCTGTCTACATAAGAAAACTAAGTGCAATACTTTTTTTTATACAATCAGCCAGAATTGTAGTTGCACCACCAATGGCACCATCGTGTTTCTCGCGAACTTTTTCATAAGAATCAATGGTCAAATCGGAAATCCCTCACACATGCAACATCTCCATTAAATCCGTCCAAATTCGATACGTTTCCTAAACGTTCCTCCCTCTTGTTTCCCACCAGGCCTCCTCCCAACCGCAACATCAATAACCCTGGCCTCCTCCTCGACAGTGGTCCTCTTCTTCGCGCTCTTCTTCTGGATGCCGGAGACCCCGGTCTTCCTCCTGCGGACCTCCCAGTCCAACCGGGCGGCCGCCTCCTTGCGCTGGTTCCGCGGCCCCGCCTACAACCTCATCCCGGAGATGCGCCTCCTCGAGCGGATGGTCCAGAAGGCGGACTCGGCGGCCGCCTACTCCGACTTCGTCACCGACCCCGCCAGCCGCCGCGCCCTCGTCGTCGCCCTCGGCCTCTTCTTCTTCCAGCAGTTCTCCGGGATCAACGCTGTTGTCTTCTACATGAACACCGTCTTCCGGACGGCCGGAGGGGACGTGTCGCCGACCGTTGCCACTATCGTTATAGCTGCGCTGCAGGTGAGTTGCATCACGATTAGCAAAAATCATAGAGTACATAGAGTCGTAATGTAATTGGGAGAGCTGGCGCCACTTTTAAGCATTTTCCATGTCCAGAATTCCGAGACTCCTGTGTGACGCCGGGTCACTTTTTCGATACATAATCGATTGTTTGCGATACACGGGTACCCGGCCATCCGATGACAACAACAACAACAACAACAACAACAACAGCAAAGGAGATAGGAATTACCACGTATTCCACACCGCCCTTTTGGATCGAAAATGTATCGAAAAAACGACCCGAACTCGGCGCACACTGGGCTCGGAATTCGTCGAGTAGAACATGGCGCCAGCTCTCCCATTTACATTACGACTCTATGTACTCTATGGCAAAAAGGAACCAGCGGGCTGGATTATTGAAATGGGCTACTAGACAAAGTACGAATTGTAGCATTCTGATACATGTTTCTTAACTAAAATTTCACGTAGAACACGATTCGCGCAACGAAAATTACTGAAACAAAATCCTGACGGAGATATTAACATTTATATTTCACATTGGTTACGAGGAATTTGAACTGCCCGCTCACAAGAAACTCAAAGCTCTACGTGAGTCAAACCGCGCACCACAATGGTTTCAGCAATATTCTCAATCGAGCAATGTTCATATCCCACCATGTGTTGTTCAAACTATAGGCAATTTGCTACAGCTGAGCCAAAGCGTCAAGATTGAGGTTGATTGAGGTTGCCAGATTTTTATATCTCAGAGACTGTAATGATAAACGTTTAGCGCGCGATGTGAATCACGTAGAGCATTGAGTTTTCATGATTGGGTGGTTTGAATTCACGCATCAAGAATTATTGAATATCTTCGTAAGGATGTGATTTTCGTAATTTTCGTTGTGCGCATCGTGTTTTACGTGAAATGTTGATTGAGAAACATGTATCAAAATGCTGAAATTTGCTCCTTGTCTAGAGGTCCATTGATAGATAAAGCGATTGGCAAAGATGACATAAAGAGTATGCAGTGATCCTATTGGTTGAAATGGGTGGATCCTACAGACTATGAGAGAAAATGATGGACTTACTATAGGGTCTGTCGTGGGTTGTCGTTAGTTAGTCTATTACCTATCTCATTTGTGCATTGCAACTACCCGCTCTCACAAATGGACGTAGTTCTACCAAAGAGACCTATGTGGAAGTGAGAAATATGGGGTGTGCTCGTTAGTCTCTTTGCGTGGCGAGTGAATGAGAATAATTGTGCGCCAAGGACGTCAACGGAGGAGGACGCCGCGTCACGTTCCTCGTGGTTGCGGTAGTCGTGCTCATTAACTCATGAGCCCTGTCCACAAGGCTCTCTTGCCATGCCCGCGGCTCATGAGTTCCGCACTCAGTTGCACATAGGTCTCTTTGATAGAATGCAATATCCCGCTTTTCCAATTCTTCAAAAGGAACCACGCCCACTGACCACATTGCTTCTTATCCAGCTTCCACGAGCACACCCCACATTTCTCATCGCCACATAGGTCTGTTTGGTAGAAATACGTCCAAATAGGATCCCTCCAATCCCTTTTGTCTTCTTTGTCTATAGTTTTGTCCATCGATTTCAATAATCGGCCGGCAGAGCGAGCAATCTCAGTGTTGTACCCCAGGTTTGCTTCCCACCGAAGAATTGTTACTTTTTCAAGAAAATAACTATTCAAATTTTAATACCTTACCTAAATTGAGTATTTTTAAAAAGAAAGAAGAAGTTGTACGATTTTGGAAACACCGCAATCGTGTTGGTTTCTCTTTGCTAGATGCGATCCAGTTGAGCGTAGCTGAAGTTCTCGATTTTTTTTTTTTTTTTTGGCGCGTATACGTAGTATACCGCCTTTGCGATCGTTTCGAACCCTGCTCGATACAATAACCGAGTCCCTTAGTTCCTTACCGAAAAGTGACTACCGCGAACTTCTGAGATTTTCCAAAGCGTGTAAAAAGTTTATTTATCCGTCAATAATTATGATTTAAAGTTGTTTCTCATTCTGGGGCTC